TCATTGCCAATTGTTGCCTGTCAGAAAGCTTAACACTTCCCTCCAAACTGGTTGGATTAAATGTTAGATCTCTCAAACATTACGCCGAATCCTTGAGGATCAAACTTCGCAACTATTTAAAAGCCAATGGAAATGAGGAGCTAAAATGCCTGTGGAGCAAATCGTTCAGCGACTTCATTAAAATCGACAATATGCTTCCTGATGCCAACGACATCAAACCGACGCTTAAAGCAATAAAAGAACAACAACAAACCGCAGCTTCGAATCATCTGACATCCTTTCAATGCCAAGGAACAATATTAAAATCAATTTAAGCACACATCCCAGCTGTTCGCATAGATTGTTGGTCAAAGTACGTAACATGTCTTTCGAAAGTTCTGTTAAAATTTGTCAGAAAAAGTTTAATCCAACAACTTCCGACAAACGACAACCTTCAAAGATGGGGAAAATCATCCACTGCACAATGTCCTCTATGCAGCGCTTGCCAAACAAACCAACACGTTTTGTCAAATTGTGGCGCGGCGTCGGCGCTGAAGCGATTTACAACACGTCACAACAAAATTCTTTCAATAATATTAGACAGGTTGAAATCATGCGCAGGCCCTGATGTCTCCATATATGCAGACACGGATCAAGATAAGTTTCAGCCACTATACTGCCTCTTCAAGACGCTACGTCCTGACATCGCACTACTTTGCGATAGCAACATTGAAATAATGGAGCTCACGGTTTGCCATGAAACAATCTTTCTGAAATCAAAGAACTATAAAATGGCTAAGTACTTCCATAATTTGCAAAATAATTTGACCAATAATTATAAACACTATAACGTTACAACTAATACATTTGAAATATTCCCTTTAGATTTTTTTAATTCTTTTAATTTGTCTTTTATTAATTTAATATAGACTGATGATTTTATCAACAACCTTATTTATGCAGCAATTTTGTCGTCATAAAGCATTTACTGTGATAGAAATGCAAATTGAATGAACCATTTAGGACCAACCTTCTCTCGTTGTACACATCTTTTTTATAAGATGACGAACTTCGGAGATTATTTCAGGACATTTTACTATATACATATATATTTTAATTTAGATTATCATTGACAATTATTGTTTTTTTCATTTCATGTATGTTTTTACGATGAGAATAAAAAGGTGTTCTCATTATTATGGCGAAGTACTCTCATAATTTGACCAATAATTATAAAAACTCTAACGTTACAATTAATACATTTGAAATATTCCCTATATCAATCAATCAATCTTTGTTTTGCGTCCAGAGACCCGGTTTCCCGAGGTAAGACGTTGTTTTTTTTGCCATCAACTTTTTGCGCCAAATTAGACAATCAATTGTATCCATTTCAGTTAAATTTAGAGATTTCATGTCTTGCTCGAGTGTTTACGAACAGGACTTCTTTGGACGGCTTTTGGGACGTGTGCCAGGAACTTCAACATCTGCTAGAGAAGTTATGGCACTGGTTCCACTTTGTTTGACATGACCAAACCACCGAGACGGTGTTGCCGGCATTCGTCCTTGATATCATCTAAACCAGCACGACGCAGGATTTCGGTAGATTTGATGTGGTTTGTGCGTATCGGTTTTGTGATCTTTTCCATCGCAGTTATAAATAACAGTGGACTGAGAATTGAGCCTTGGTGAACTCCAACGCCGATGTCAAATGCATCTGTGTTTCCAACCGTTGTGCTGACAAGAGTCTTAGTATTCGTATACATTTCCATCACAAGTCGAACAAGATATTCTGGTATGAGTTGTCGACGTAGACTCCACCTGATTGCTTAATGGGGAACTCGATCAAATGCCTTTTCAAGGTCAACAAAAATGGGTGATAGTTGTTGATGCTTTGCGAGGTACTTCTCTTGCAGTTGCCAAAGGATGTGAATTGCATCAATTGTTGATTTCCCCGCTAGAAAATCAAATTGATAATTTCCGATTGTGATGCACGACGTTAATCTTCTCTCAATGATTTTCTCGACAATTTTCAGGGATTGTTCTAACAGACGTATACCCCGATATGATGAACAGTTCAATGGATCACTTTTGCCTTTGTATAGCGGGACTGTCATGCTATAGTTCCATTCAGTCGTTATTGAGCAATTTCTCCAGATTTCACGGCAAAGTTGTAGTAACGTTTGGATACTTGCAGTACCAGATGCTTTGATAATGTCATTTTTGAGTCCAAAGAGCCCTGCTGTCTACAGTGATGGCTGAAATTGGACCTTCGATGGGTTGAGCGTCATAGTTGACATTGATGAGATTTGTTTCAATTAACAGACGGTTGAAATATTCTTTCCACTGTAGCTTTATCTCACTCGTTCAAGAACCATCTCATTTTTGTCGTTTTTGATACGTGAGGCACCGTCTTTTTTCGTACGCTTTGCTTGTTTTGCTATACGATACAGAGATTTCATTTGAAATATCCCTTATACGTTTTTTTTAATACTTTTGATTTGTCTCTTATTAATTTATATGGACTGATGATTTTATCAACAACCTTATTTATGCAGCTATTTCGTCGTCATATAGTATTTACTGTGATAGAAATGCAAATTGAATGAACCACTTAGGACTAACCTTCTCTCGTTGTACACATCTTTTTTATAAGATGACGAGATTCGGAGATTATTTCAGGACATTTTACTATTTACATATATATTTTAATTTTGATTATCATTGACAATTATTGTTTCTTTCATTTCATGCATGTTTTTACGATAAAAATAAAAAGGTGTTCTCATTATTATTATTATTATTATTATTATTATTATTATTATTATTATTATTATTATTATACGTAGAGTTCATATAGCGCCCATTCAAGTTCTCATAAACGCTTTATCCCACAAATCCGCTTTTATTCTTTTCCTAAAGACAGTCTCTACAATTTCATTCTTCTTCAATTCTGTTGGTAAACTATTCCAAATCTTTGGACCGTACACCGCAAAACTTCTTGAAGCCATCGATGACTTAGCTCACGGTATCTAAAGATTATTGTTTTTGAAAGACCTTAAGACTCTTCCCTCTTCGGTTTCTGGTGTTTTTTGACACAAATCAATCAAATATTTCGGAGCCGAACCTCTGATACATCGCTTCACCATCACCAAAACTTTGAATACGATTTTGCTTTCAATTGGTAGCCAATGTAACTCACAAAAAATTGGAGTTACATGATCGTATTTTCTCCCTTGAATAATAAGCTTTGCTGCACGGTTTTGTACTGACTTTAGTTTATATATTGTTGACTTCGGGCATCTGCTCAGCAAACGGTTGCAATAGTCAACTCGACTGACTACGAATGCATGGATCAATGATTTTGTTGTGTCCAAATCATGGAAAGCTCTTATTCAGCCAAGCTGTCGAAGCTGAAAAGAACAATCCCTTACAAGATTACTCACATGCTGATGCATGTTTAATGCACTATCCAACCAAAAATCCCAATTCTTCACCACACCAGATAATGGCACCATCACCGATCCTAATCTCATGGCATCCACATCAGTTTTCAAGAGCTGTTGTCTGGTTCCGATCAACATCAGCTGTGTTTATCTTCATTTAATTTCAATCTGTATGCACCCAACCAACTTTTCAAGCACATTATTTGTTCTGATACTAATTCAACCATTTCTCTCACCGACTGCACTAATGATAATCTGTATATCATCAGCATATAAATACACACACAGAGCATTGTGTTTTAGCACTTTTGCTATTCCCAAAATGTAAAGGAGGAAAAGGAGTGGGCCTAACACTGAACCCTGAAAAACGCCTTTTTTTTATCTCCATCGCTGTCGCTGTTTGTCCTCCGTAGACTACATCGTAAGTTCTTTTGCAAACAAATGATGACAACCAATCAAGCACCTTGCCTTTCAAACCAAACTGATTTTTCAAAACATGATGCAGCACGTCATGATTGACACAGTCGAAAGCTGCACTTATGTCCAAAAGTGCCAAAAGAGACACTTTTTTCTTATCAATAGCTTCATACGCATCTACCATAAGACGAGTTAGTGCTGTCTCGGTTGAATGATGCTTTCTATAGGCAGATTGTGCATACGGCATCAAGTTCTGTTTGTCCAAGTGGTGCACCAGTAGTCGTACAACCACTCTTTCGATTAACTTAAACAAAAAAGTTAATTTGGAAATCGGTCTGTAATTGCCGTGATACATCTGGCTGGGGTTTCTTTAACAACGGCGTAACAATAGCATGCTTGGCCAACTTCGGAAAAATTTCGTCTCTTAAATGTGCATTTACCATGGCAGTTATTAACGGCAAAAAAAACATCTAAAAACTCCTTGACGACGTATGTTGGGACAGGATCATCGGAGCAGGTCGTTGACGGTGATTGCACTATAATTTTGTAAACCTCTTCTGCGCAAAGTTCAAAATTGTCCAACACTATAACAACTAACTCTTCGATTACCAGAAGATCATAATGCCTAGTCGCTGCCATTATTTTATCAACTTTGTCTTCAAAACGTTTAAAAAAATTTTCAGATGTAAATTCCGCCGTTTTTGATTCTGACATATATACATTTTTATTCATCATCTTGTTCACATGACGCCAAAGCTGAAAAGGATTGTTTTTGCAAAATGCTATCTGATTTTGCCAATAACAATTTTTCTTTTCTATCAGCCACATTATTCTGTCTTGTAGGACATCATATTAATTTTTTCTATCATCATCACCATTGGTCTTACGATATTTCTTTTCCATCCTCTTACACCATCGTTTAGTCTGAACACAATCTTCATCAAACCAAGGAGTTACCGGACACAATTTACAATTCACCTTTTTAATTGATGCATATTTATCTGCCAAACGTCTTAACTCCGTCACACAGCATTTCATCAAGTCTTCAGCGCAGGCATTATCAGCTGGGACACAGCCAGTGATGTTGTCATCAAGTAACTCCGAAATGCAGCTTTGTCATATCTCCTCCAACATCGTACTAATTCTGTTATTATTTGTGGTTTAGTTTTGCGCATGGGCAACAGATACGTCACCAGGGCATGATCTGAAAAATCTCCTGGCGACATCCGTAATCTCGTAACCCGGCCACAAATCCAATATTCCATGCTTAACGTGAGTTTCACCGTGCACGAACCTGACTATATCAAATGTTGCAAGAAAATCTTCCATCCGCCTTTAGGTTATCAACGTCCTCTAGATAAAATCACCAGTTATCAACATCGGAACGTTATTTACAGACAGTCCCTCAACCACATGAGTTAGCTCATCAAAGAACAACTTGTCAGCAGCTTTTGAACCCGGGCGATATATCGCCATCAGGATAACCGATGCGTTTGCCGCTGAGATTTCGATGCATAAACATGTATATCGTTGCGCTTGTCTTCTGACAAGTCGTGTTGCGAGAAGTGCGTTTTATTATTGGACAGTAGGATATAATGCAGGTAGATAGTTGAAGCGGATTAGTTTTGTGATGAGAGATTGTAGTTGCTGAAGTTGTTGTGTATTAAAACCAGACCAGGAGAGAGCTGCATATTTGATGCGTGAGATTATGAGTGATTCAGTGATGTCGAATAATTTGATGCCTCTGAGACCATGTGAGCGGAGTGTTTTGTAAGATGACTCATCAAGTTCACATTCCGTTGGATTAGGTTTTTTTAAACAATGAATAAATATTGACTTAGATCTTCATAAATTATGTCGCTGTTAAAAATCTCATTCAAAATCTCTGTCAATTTTTCAATGCCAAATTCATCAAGGCATTTAATTTCTTCAACAACTTTCTCATCTGGACCTGACAAAAAAAACGGCACGAACTTCAGATCTAAGTATCTTTGGTCCTTCTTCGTCTTTTTTAATAAGAGGCTTTTAACCACGGATATTATCAAATAGATCGTTAATGTATTCAGTCCATCTTTCAAGTACTTTTTCTTTCCCAAAGATTACTTCACCGGATTTAGCCTTTATGCATACAGAAACGGGGTAAAAACGTAGGAAACGGCGCTTCTGTTGTTTACATAGAATAATATTGAAAACTTTAAATTTGGCTCCACCCTTCATTAATATTCATGACCAACCGAAGCGCTTAGTTTTATTGTAATAAATTATTGAACATTATATTTTAAAATGTTTATTAATAATTTTGATGTCAAATAAAATGAGGTCATATATTAAAATATAAATTAAATATAAATAAAATATGTATTAAAATTAAATATAAATAATTAAAGTATATATTAAATTTAAATGTAATAGTTAATCTGTTCGATCTTATATAATATTCTTTCCTTTTCTTTTTGTTATTTCCTCTTCCATTCTTCACTTGCATTTATTTATATTTTTTATTAATAAAAATTTATCGCTTATTTAAGTTAAAAATGGCTATATAGCCCTCAGTTGAAGGAATGAAAATGTTGGAACAGATAGGTTGTATTTTGAAAACAGAAAATGCTGTGAGGTGGGCAAAACAGCACGGTTTGATAGCGACCACGATGACATGCCACTGTCTTGCAGACATGAGGTTTACATACTTTTCAAGCTTAAACATTTTTTCTCCGTTAACAGTTTTTCGTTATCGTTTCATACTACTGCGTTGCATGCTGTACAGTTTTCTCGTTTGTCAGATTTTGATTTTTTCAAAAATAATAAAACAAAAGATTTGCAGAAAGCACAACAAAGACAGATGGTTACTTGTGGAGGTGTAGAAACTTTAGGTGCCGCGCCACAAAAACAATTAGGCATGGAAGTTTCTACAGCCATAGCCAAATGTCGCATACAAATTGCATTTTGGTAAGATTTTTTTTCATTGTTCATAAAAAAATTTCATTTCTTTAAGGATGATGAAGCGAATTGTTTTAAATTTAAACAGATAACGTATTTGTGGTCTATCAAAGACGTTAGCTAGGCTACGGTTTCGGCGCTTTTAGATTTGGACGTCGGGCACACATTACCTGACTGGTTCAATTTCCATCGGGATTTATGCATGCCAACTTTATTTATCACCCGACTACCAACTTCATCTACCACATGACCACCGACTACACCTACTACTTGACCACCAATTTTACCTACCATCTGACTACCAACTTTACCTACCACTGGACCACCAGCTTGGAGTGAACAAGGCGCAAAAAGTAAAGAAAGGCGTAAAGAAACAAATTTCAAATTCAATTCACAATGTTTGGAATTTTTTTTCAAAAAAGTTTATCCTCAATGATATCATATACTTCAGTTCAATTAATTTACGACAGCTTTATACAACTCTGAACCTAGGAAGAGTGCAATAGATCCCTAAATTTTTATTCCAGATATACGCAGTTCATAATCTGATTTAACCGATTTTATGTTATATATGTCAGTAACAAAGTACTGGTACGAAGCTAAAGCGTCTTCACTAATTTTTTTATTTAATTAATTTTTCAGACCTACTTTAAGATTATAAGAATTAATTTGTTGAAACACAGACACGAAGGAAACGCTTATGAATGTAATGGAATGTGAATACTGTGTGTGTGTTAATTATTTTCAATCGATTGTTGGGAAAACTAGAAAGCAAATCAATATTTCGTAAGTTTTTTTTAACGATTTGTTGAGAAAATCAATGTTTCGATTAACCATCAAGTAATTAATTATCGATGTCACCTGAAATTTCATGAATGATTATTAGCAGTTTTATGATGTTGTATTTAAAATATACAGAAAGTTTCTTGTTTTGAAATGAAATCTCAAGATGATAATAATTTTAAATTAATAATAATATTAGATGGTAAATATTTTATTTGTGGCAAATGGCAAAGTCAAGCGAAGGCTACTATCTGTCAGGACATAATTCATTTGAAAAGTAAGGATAATCCATGGATACTACTACTATATCTACTACTTCTAAAACAATTACTACTACCGCCACAATTACAACAACTACTACTAATACTACGACTACTACGTACTATCACTACAACTACTACTGCTGCTACTACTTATATAGCTGCTAAAACTATTATCAGTGCTATTAATGCTACTACTACTACTACTACTACTACTACTACTACTTACTACTACTATTACTACTTATTTTACTACTACTACTACTACTACTACTACTACTACTACTACTACTACTACTACTACTACTACCACTTGAAAAAATAAAATACACACATATTGAAACACATTTTTTGTACTTAAATGCAGCGTTTTAAATAGAAAAATTGACACAAAATTGTGTGATAAGTTAAAAAAAGGGTAGCCAAGTAATTCCCAGTTGTCTGAATCTGTGAGTTTATTAATGAGATTCATTTTCAATGACTAAACAATTACTTCTTAATAAATTTTTATGTAACAAACGAACTAACACAAAGCTATTTATTGGTGCTTGAAAAGAATTCAAAACTTTAACTTTTTAACATTACTAAATTTTTTCATTCAAAGGTCCACAAAGGGACCACAAAGGGTTAACATGTTGTTAACAACATGACATTGTTGTTAATTTTCACAAAAATATATCCATAAGGGTATCCGTAAACATATCCACAAACAAAAACATACACAAAAAAAAACATACATTGCACATAAACAAATGTTTTATACAAACATACGCACGCACATAGTTAAATTACACTGTTGTTGTAAATCGTGCTCTTACATGGTTGGTTACTAAATGGTGTCAAGTCATTTTCGACATGAACTGTCTATAATTATTTTGGTAAAGTTCCAAAATGCCTGATGTTATCGTTTGCTCCGTCTGGACGTGAGTGTCTGTCTGTTTGTCTGTCGTTTATTTATCTGTTTGTCTATCTGTCTGTCTGTTTGTCTATCTTTTTGTCTACGACGATGATTAATGGTAGGGGTATAGTATAGTTATAGTATAGGGGTATAGTGGTTATGCTGATGTTTTTAACGTCAACCACAGTAAAAAATAACAATGGAAAGTAAAGCAAAATTTAAATTAAAATAATTAAAAATATTGAGCATTGTTTGATTACAAAACAAATTGTAATGTAGAAAAAAAATTAAATTCTGGCAAAAAGAGTGATAATAATGGTAATAAAAGCCGTACACAGCCAGACAGACTATGTTTGTGTTGCTAAATTGTTACATAAATAAAATTCATAAATAGGAAAATATAATAAGTATATAATTATACAATATTTAACAATATTAAAATGAAAAAAAAGAAAAAGAAAGAGTGGCAACTTCCAGATTGTGATCATAATTATTTAGCAAGCAGAACTACTTCCTCGTCATAAACGGGCATAATTATAAACCCACAGTAATTATGTGTCTGTCTATGTATGACTGTGTGGGAGAGAAAGAGAGGGAGAGAGAGAAACAAAGTTGATGATGATGGCGTGAAAGATGACGAAGATGATGATAAAGAGCCGTAAACTGGTTGATAATAGTTATAACAATGATTAAGAAAACGTGATGATGACGATGATAACGATGATGATAATAAAGATGATGGTGATAATAATGCGAGTTCCAATGAGGAAGATGCTGGGATGATGATGCCGACAACGTTTTAAAGAAAATTGATGATGGTTCAAGTTTAATTAAATTATAAAAGTGCAGTTACAATGATGATGACGATGTTAGTGATGATGACGATGCTGGTAACGATGATAATGATGATGAAAGTAATGATGATGACGATGATGTATATATATATGTGTGTGTATACAAAATTTGTATATATATATATACACGCAAATGCTCTCATTCCGATTTGCAGATCAGTGTTATTTAATATAAAAAATATTTATAGTTTATATCTGTAAACTAAAAAATTATGGCCCCGGACAACAACAATAATAATCTGGATGTGGATGGCCATCAAAATAAAAGTTAGCAAATATAACTGTCTGTTACATTTACTCCGAAAGTTAAAAATAGATATTACAAGTATATGTAGTTGATATAATTATTTATTTACTGCTAATGATTAACTATTAATCTATGAACAATGTAAACCTATGTTGCTGGTGAAGGCCCGGGAACAGAAACAAGTACAGGTTAAAATTGGCAATCAATATGCTTAATCAATATTTTATATTAAGCTATTAGTTTCGATAATAATAATAAAAAAAGTGATTATAAATTTTATATTTTATACCAGTTTATTTTATATTTAGGAATGAATCTTAACACCATCTAAAATTTATAATGTTAAACAATTTAAATATTTTTTAAATAATTTTATAAAAGTCGTAAAAAAACCAGTCAAAAAATAAGAGGAAGTGGTCAAAGGGGATGGAGAGGACAGAGACAAGCAGGAGGATGTAGAGGACAGGTAGGTGGATGGAGAGGACAGGCAGGTGGATGAAGAAGACAGGTTGGTGGATGGAGAGAACAGGCAGGTAGATGGAGAGGACAGGCAGGTGGATGGAGAGGACAGGCAGGTGGATGGAGAAGACAGGTTGGTGGATGGAGAAGACAGGCAGGTGGATGGAGAGGACAGGCAGGTGGATGGAGATGACAGGTTGGTAGTTGGAGAGGACAGGCAGGTGGATGGAGAAGACAGGTTGGTAGATGGAGAGGACAGGCAGGTGGATGGAGAAGACAGGTTGGTAGATGGAGAGGACAGGCAGGTGAATGGAGAGGACAGGCAGGTGGATGGAGAGGACAGGCAGGTAGATGGAGAGGACAGGCAGGTAGATAGAGAGGACAGGCAGGTGGATGGAGAGGACAGGCAGGTGGATGGAGAGGACAAGCAGGTGGATGGAGGAGACAGGCAGGTGGATGGAGGAGACAGGCAGGTTGATGGAGGAAACAGGCAGGTGGATAGAGGAGACAGAGAGGCGGAAGATGGGGACAGAGGGGTGGTAGGGGTGGTTGTATAATTATTAATTTTTAATTTTATTAACATTTCAAATGTCTGTATGTATGTCTCTGTATATGAATGTTATATGTTGTACATATGTTTTATTATATATATCGATAATCACTAATACGGTATAATTCATTTTTTCATTAAGCCTTTTTTTCTCACTATTATTCACATGTAATTTTTTCCATAAATTATATATATATATACTTTTTAATATATATATGCGTGTGTATTACACTATAATTATTTATATTCATTAATGGCAATATTTATATGACAGCATAACACCATTTGCAATCCTGTGAATATGTATGCGTATGTTTGTTCATCTTTGTTATTGTACATTTTTACGGACATTTAGCAAATTACTTTATACAAAATATTTCATATAAACATTATACATACATATATGCTCATCACGAAAATTACTCTATTGATGTTTTTATTTTTTGAACAGTTTATTTTTTACATTTAGTAGATTTTGATTAAACATTTATGTATTATATTATGTATTATTGGAATTTTGAACTCGAGTAAGAGCATCAAGACCAGGAGAATTAATTCACACTGATGTATGTGGTCCTTTTTGCTTCTAATTTCAAAATTATAAATACTTTGTTTTGTTCAAAAATGATTTCACAGGCTACAGATTTGTTTACTTTGTTGAACAAAATCAGATGTACCAGAAAAATTCTGACAAATGCTTGCAGAAACAAGATCAGCTGGTCATAAAGTCTCAGAAGTAATAAGTGACAATGGAGGTGAATTTGACAACAAAGAAGTCAGATCAATTTTGCAAAAAGAAGGAGTTAGACAACGCCTAACTATGCCTTATACACCTCAGCAGAATGGTTGCAGTAAGCGTGATAATCGAACGCTAGTTGAAGCAGCAAGAGCCATGAGACTGGCTCATGAAGAACTGCCTCAGGTCCTCTGGACTGAATTAATTAATACTGCTGCTTACATACTCAACCGAACTGAACCATCTTCTGTAAAAGGAAAATCACCGTATGAAGTGTGGTTTAACAAGAAACCTAAGATAACACATCTACGAATCATTGGTAGCAAAGCCTATGTTCATATTCCTATGCAGAAACGACGTAAAATGGATACTAAAGCTGTAAAGGGTACCCTCGTTGGATATGAAGGTGACGATGGCTACAGAATTTTTGCTTCGATCAAGAGATGTTATTTTTGATGAAAAGATTGTCAAACCAAATTCAGTGATTTTGCAAGAAGAAAGTTGTTCAGATGATAAAGTTTCGATTGATGTTGAAATAAAAAATGAAAATAAAGAAACTTTGATTAAAGAAAGTATTTCAACTGATGAAGATGTTCACAACCGTAGTTCAGTTTCATCTGATGAAGAAGATCAATCTGATTGTTGTAATCAAAAGACCAAAGGTATGGTTTTACGTGACAGAAATAATATCAAAAAGCCATCTCATTATGATCCTTTTGTTATGTCTGCATTATGTGAAGTACTTGAACCAGAGAGCTACAAAGATGCCACTCAAAGAGATGAAAAAGATGAGTGGTTTAAAGCCGTGAACAGTGAAACGCAGTCATTAGAGGAAAATCAAACGTGGGATTTGGTAAATATTCCAAAAGGTCATAAGGCAATACCATGCAAATGAGTCTACAAGGTAAAACATAATCCAGATGGTTTTGTTGAACGTTTTAAAGCCAGGCTAGTGGTAAAAGGTTTTTCTCAGAAAAAGGGAATTGACTATGGAAAAACCTATAGTCCTGTTGTCAGAAGTTCAACTATAAGAATACTATTAAGCGTTGCTGCAAATGAAAAGATGTCACTCATGCAGTTTGATGTGTCAACAGCATCTCTATATAGCAAACTAGATGAAGATATTTACATGGAGCAACCTGAAGGTTTTAAAGATAATTCAGGAAGAGTCTGTAAACTCAAGCAAAGTCTCTATTGACTTAAACAAGCTCCAAGATGTTGGAACAAACGTTTTGCTAAATTCTTGAAAAAGAGACATTTCAAACAAAGTGATGCAGATACTTGTTTGTTCATTAGAATACAGGGAGGAAAAAAACTCATATTTTTTTTTATTCTTTAAAAATCAGGATCTGACAGACGCAGAAGCTGTAACAACATGCAAGGCAGAAAAACAAAATTAAACAAATAAGTGAGAAAATAAATACAAAAGTGAAGAAGAGAAATGATAAAACATGAAAAATAAAATATGTTAGAATAAAATAAATAATAATAATAGGAAAAATAAAAGAAAAGTAATTGACGATGGAATATAAAATGAAGTAACGGCAAATTGATAGACTAGATGATGACTTAGTGAGGTGGTCGATAAATAAAGGCTAGGCCTGTGAAAGAAAAAGTTTTAATGAGTATTAATATGTTTGATGACTTATTAATAGACAAAATGATGACTTAGTGAGTTAGTGAGGTGATCGATAAAAGTGAGATGATCAATAAGTAAAAACTAGTTCAGTAATGATAAAGTTGTCTCAAGTGCTAATATGTTTGAGGTGTCTTGTGATGAAGGTCTTTTCCTGGTATGTAGATTGGGCGACGACTTGATAGTTATGTCTGCGCTGATGAAGGTTGTGTGTTGTAGTTTTGATTGGTAGTAGTAGAGGATGGATGACGTGGTTGTTGTTATTTTCTATTTTCTTGAACAGCCTTGAATCAAGTGTGTTGAATATCTGGGTGACGGTAGGGTATGATGCAGGTAGGTAGTTGAAGCGAATTAGTTTTTTGATGAGAGATTGTAGCTGCTGAAGTTGTTGTTGCGTGGCAAAACCTGACCAGGAGGGAGCTGCATATTTGATGCGTGAGATGATGAGTGATTCGGTGATGTCGAATAATTTGATGCCTCTGAGACCAATTGAACAGAGTGTTTTGAGTGCGTGAAATGTTTGAAAGCCTTTTGTGATGATGTAATTGATATGAGGTGCTATATTGAGTGTGGAGGTGAATGTGATGCCTAATATTTTTAGTTGATTTGTGCGAGTGATTGATGGATGTTCAGGAGGTAATGTTATTTTTTTACGGCTATTGTGAATGATGAGTTCGAATGATTTATGACTTACACTGTATGTTGATGATGGACTAGTTGCAGGAACCGATAAAAAAGAACTAAAAATTTTTGAAAAAGAATTAAAGTCAGAGTTCAAGATAACATCTAAACCTGCAACATATCTCCTTGGATTAAAGATTAATCAAGATGAGAAGGGAAACATTAAAGTCAGTCAGTCATCGTACACAAGAATGATTCTTGAAAGGTTTGGGATGAGCCAGTGTAAACTCTGTACAACTTCGATTACAAAATCTGAGAAGTTAAATGAAAACAAAAATGAAAACGAGCAGTTGGTGCATTGATGTACTTGATGATGGGAACAAGACCAGATATTGCATATGCAGTTGGAGTAGCATCCAAAAGTTTGGAGAAACCCAGCAAGTCCAATGTAGCACAAGTCAAGCAAATTTTCAGATATTTGCAAGGCACAGCTGATGTCGGTATTGTTTACAAGTCTGGTCAAAACAATACACTTATAGCCTACAGTGATGCAGATCATGGAGGAGATAAATCTAGTGGAAGATCGACATTAGGTGTAATCTGTATGTTTGGGGAAAGCGTGATCAGTTGGTTTAGCCAACGTCAATTCTCAGTGGCGATTTCAACTACAGAAGCAGAAATCGTTGCCGCAAGTGAAGCAGCTTGTGAAGTGATATAGCTCAAACGATTGTTGAACGACATTGTAGATCTAAAGAAAAAGCCAGAAATTTTTGTCGACAATGAAGCAGCGATTCGTTTAGCACATAATCCAGAACTTCACAGAACAAAGCATATCCACATTAGACATTTCTTTGTCAGAGAAAAGGTTGCAGAAGAAGAAGTTTCAGTTGATCGAGTTGCGACAGAACTTCAAGTTGCTGATGCCTTGACAAACCAATGGTAGAACCAAGACTTAAGAATCTGATGTGTGTGATGGGTCTTCAGAACATTTATGTTAAGGTCGACTAATGTTTTAAATAAAATGAGAAAGTGTTAACTTTTATGCTTTTTCTTTTCTGTTGTTCCGGTTGATAATAAACAAGTCAAGAACGTTGCTAAGTTTATTTCTCTTCTTTTAATAATGTCTTTCAATATTATATCGATCTACGACTGACTGTATGGTATGAGGCAAGTCAAGCTATAAAAACCATGGATATATATAATGGATATGGCAAGTCTCATATGTATATATATATATATATATATATTCATACATCGGTTAAAATAAATTTTGCAAAAAATTTTGATCCATAGAACCAAAATCGTCAGTGAAAAATTAATTTTAAAAAACATTTAGTTTTTTATCTATGTTTAGAACATCGTCTAGTTTTCGATTATCGTCATAGATTCCGTTGTTGAGTTATTACCAAATAAGAATTTCGCTTTAAAAAACTAGAAACATAAGTTGGTAATGTTTGATTGCTAACGTTGCTGATAGGTAAAACGTGAGATAGGTACTCCTATGGTATCCTCCATGTTAACAAACAATCATAATGTATTTTTAATAAATTAACTCCGCCCATTTTGAATTATCTAGCGCTTGATTATTTATTTATATCAAATTGAAAATAATTTAATACAAGTTAATTCTTAGGTAAGTAATTTAATACAAGTTAATTCTTAGGTAAGTTTTTTAGATCATTACTTGTCAAATATCAATAGCTTATGGAGTGGTTAACAAGGTTAGGGCCTCCATTTTAAAAAATTTTTCAATCATTTCACAAATGATTGAAAATTTTAACTACTCCATGTTTGTGAAATGATTGAAAATTTTGTTAAAAAGAGGAGGCCCTAACCCTAACCCTGTTAACCACTCCACAAACCATTGATTGTTATCAAAACAGAAATTTACTCATATTTCAACTTTTTTTTATTTAATGTTCACTATTTCAACTATTTGACAAGTAATGATCTAAAAAGCTTACCTAATTAAATTATTTTCAATTTGATATAAATAAATAGTCAAGCGCTAGATAATTCAAAATGGGCGGAGTTAATTTATTAAAAGTACATTATAATTGTTTGTAAACATGGAGGATACCATAGGAGTACCTATCTCACGTTTTACCTTGGTGGTTTCAGTTGCGTTGGGCTTTTTTAATACTAATTTCCAAAATTACAAGTTGCACTGTTGTCTCTCACTCTGCTCTGCAATGGATATTCTGATAATAATCAGGCAAAACCTTAGGATGGCACTGGGAAATTCCATAAAATAGTAAACAAAGAGTTAAAAATAAATCCAGCTTAATTTGCGCCATTTAGCTCCACCCCTTTTTAATATTTATGTTCATTTTTAATAACCGTTGTATTTGTTGATGTAATAAATGTTTGAATGCGCAATTTTTAATTTTTCTTGTCTTGTAAAATAATAAATGATATTTAAACGCGGTTAATTTTTTCGTCCTTTTTAGATGTTATTTAAAAATTTTATAATTAACGAGTGCAAGCCAAAACACTTTTTTTTTTTAGAAGTTAATGATTTTATTTTATCGTAATAAATGGAAAATACAAATTACTTACAATTTAAATCGCAATAAAAAAAAGTAACAATTAAATTTAATTTAAATGTTTAAACAAGGTAATATGTACGGATGAGCTCAAGAGCTTTTTGAAACCGCACATCATGGTCCCTGATACCGCGCTGCCACTTAAACTCAACGAGATACGAAGAGACGTGATCATCGCAGGTACCATGCATCCGTTTAAATTTATCTTTGGCACTTCCAAAGATTCTCAATGGCATTAGTATGCGCTCCATTTGGAGCAACAAAGCCATATCGATGATTGACAGTGTCGTGTGCCAGTCCCGTAACTCTGGGAATGTTCGCATAAGCGGCCCACTTGTCAGACCATATTGTCGTGTCTGAATGAGAATTAGATAAAATGTTAATACAGGAAAGGTTAATAGAAAATGTTAAAATCATTACCGGGCAAAACATGCCGTTGTATAATGGGCAGCAAAGTGGCCGCATCACGTTGAGCCACCTCTTCTAAGAAGGCTTCTTTGGAAACATTATCTATACCGCCAAAAACCCAACGCTGCCGAAATGGCCTGGCCCTTCCATTCCTTGTCCTTTTGTTACTGGACACCAGACTCTAATCAATATGGACAATTCGACCAGGTCCACCAATTACTTTTGGGTTGTCTCGTACCCAATCGGTACAGAGTTGGCGATGGAGGTTGAACCAGCCAGGCAACGTGTTATTTTTATCTATTTGTAGCAACGAAGCTGTCGCTGCCTGACTGATGTCCTCCATGCTTGTCAGGTTCGTCACTAATATAACGTCAATAATCAAGATCAATGAAACTAGACAATCAACAGAAATTATAATTTAATTCGGCAACAGAACATTATAATAACATATTGAATATTTTTATCGTTCAAAATTTCTTAAGATTATTTTTATATATTAGTTTAATATTATTTTATCCGTTTTGGCAATATTTTAACAATATTCTATTCAATTCAACGTTTTTGTATTAAATTTATTAAATAAATTTAATTTCAAATAATATTTATTCAAATTTGTTTTCACAATATTCATTCCAAATTCGTTTTCACAATATTCAATTCGCTCGTTCAACAACGTTCTATATTCGTTCTAATCTCTCCTCGTTCAGTTCTTTTATCGCCCCTTATCTCCCGAAACAAATGTCATAGCGCTCAACTTTTAATTATAATATAGGTGACCTCCCTGACATACCCCCCACCCAAAAATGATGACAGGGGGGAGCAATGTCATCATCCGCTCTTTTATTCCTCATCTTTAGGCATCTCTGAGTTATCAATGGGTGGATTTCGTGATAGGAAGTCCGCTACTACGTTCTTACAACCTGGGTGATATCTAAATTCTATATTATATTCCTGTAATGATAAAACCCAGCGGGTCAATTTAGCGCTTCTTGGAGCCGTTTCCAACAGGTACTTCAATGGGTTATGATCGGAAAATATGACTATCCGCGACAAACATATCCACTGTCGGAATTTCTCCAATATCCAAATAACGGCAAATGCCTCTCTTTCGATCGTTGACCATTTTGTTTGTGCTAATATTAATTTCTTACTTGCAAATGCGATAGGCAATTCTTTTCCTTCCTCCGACCATTGTATTAAACAACCCCCTACTGCTACCTCACTAGCATCAACGTATATTCCGAATTCCTTAGCAAAGTCGATCGTATGTGTTGCGGTAACATCCATTAATTGTTGTTTTATCTTATTAAATGCTTGTTGATGGATTTCTTCCCATTGTACTTTACTGGGTGCATTTTTGCGTGTAAGGTTGGTGATGACGTGTATCGTATCTGCCAACATCGGGATAAAGTTTCTAAAATAACTGAAGAATCCAATCATCTTCCTCAGATCTCTTTTCGTTGTTGGCGGGTTCATTCTATCTAAAGTTTCTAATTTTGATTTATCTATTTCTATGGATCTGGATCCAATTATGTGTCCAACAAACTTTACTTTATTCTGGGCGAACGTAGATTTTGTCATATTTAGCGTCAATCCCGTTGTTTGTATCACGCTTAAAAACTGGTCTAAATGTTTCATATGGTCCTCCCATGAATCTGAGAATATTGCGATATCATCTATAAACGGTTCAGTGAATTCCCTAACATCCTTCAAAATCTGTGTTATTCCTCGGACAAATGTATTCCCGGCTGATTTGAGGCCAAAAGGCATTCGGGTAAACTCAAACACACCTTCTTCACAAACAAACGCAGTAAGCCATTGTGATTTTTGCTTCATCGGGATTTGCCAATACCCCGACTTTGCGTCGAAACAACTGATGTACTTTGCTCTACCCACCCGCTGTAATACATCTGGTATATCCGGATTGGGAAAGCAATCATTCGCAGAAAATTTATTCACATAACGGTAATCTATGGCGAGTCTCACATCTCCGGAATTTTTCAATATGCAAACCATCGGGCTTACCATCTCGCTTTTCGACGGTATAATGATTCCTGTTTCTAACATATCTTTGATTTGTAGTTTCACTGATTCTTTTAACAATTCAGGTACTTTGTATGGTCTAAATTGCTTGGGTACAAATTCCGGTAGCATTTTGATTTCATGTTCGATGGCTCTATATAATCCTGGTTGGTTGGAAAAAGCTTGTCGGTGTAGTTGTATTACCGTGTTAATCTCTTCTTTTCCCAGCGTCGAAAGATGATCCAACTTTCGGGGATCTAGTTGACAATAGATATTCTGATAGTCTTTCTCAAATGTTGTTATTCTACCTAGTTCCACATCCTTTTCTCTTATGAGGGTGCAGCTCGATATCATAGCTTGTTCCATCCGCTCATAGTATTGTTTGATTTTATTGGCGTGAACATGTTGTCGTTTTCTATCTATTTCAACAATATATGAGTATGGTGACTTCACTTCTACGATTACGCCTGGTCCCCGCCATCGGTTATGAAGTTTACTTTCCCCTAAATTTGTTGACAAAATAACTACTTTATCCCCCAAATGATATTTTCTATCAGTGCTTCTTAGGTTATAGAAATGAGCATATTTGCCTTGCTCAAGATCCGAATAAAACTCTGCATGTGCCTTAGCATAGTCTAGGTTTTCGTTCAAGGTTTTCAAATATTCTTCAGTTTTTTTTCCGACATTGAATGGTATATGTTGCTCCTCACTCCATGATTCCCTCAGCGAAGATAGTGGTCCCCTGGGTATTGTACCAAAAACCAAGGTATATGGGCTAACGTGCGTAGTTGATGAGGGTTTTTCCCGTAAGCTCCAAAGAACAAAAGGCAGAAATTTATGCCAATCCTTTGGGTTCTGTTGTGCCAATTTAAAGATCATCGTCTTAAGGCTCTGATTACAACGCTCCACTAAACCAGCAGCTTCCGGATGTCCAGGAGTATTAAAACGCGGACTGCATCCTAATTTTTTCAAAAATTCTTGCGTCAGATTACTGGTAAAATTAGTCCCACGGTCAGAACTAATAACTTGAGGAATTGAAAAAATCATGAATATTTGAATTAACGCTTCACATATGTTAGTGGCCTTCAAGGTTCTTAAAGGATATGCCATAGGCCATCTAGAAAATTTATCTACAACAACCAATGCATAATTATAATCTGGTTTTCGCTGCGTTGTATCGTCAGTTGGAATAATTGGTCCAATACAATCCATTATTAAATGGGTAAAAGGTTTTTCTTCGTCCCTTGGTATCGGCGTAATGGGGATTCTTTGAGCGACCTTGATGGGAGCTCGTAATTGACAGATTGAACAAGTTTGGCAGTAATCTTTAATCTTTTTTTCCATTCCAGGGAACCAAAAATTCAATTTTATTCGGTGCATCGTGGATTTCATAGCCATATGTCCTGCAAATGATGCATCGTGTCCCATCTCTAAAACAATGGGCACTCTATTTTCCGGTAGACACAACTGAAAAATTCTTTGACCTAATAGCTTATCCTGGTGATAAAGAAGGTTATCCTTTATAATAAAATTCCTTTTGCCTTTTTTCGCCCATTTCCAGCAATCAGTTAACGAAGAACAAGTCATCTGTTCAATCAATAGTTCTTTTGCATTCGCTGATCTTTTAGCTACATCCTCTTTTGTCGATAAAACCTTTTGTTTCACATCCTCATCATCATCGTCTATAGCATGTACCGTTACGATGTCAATTCTTTGTATTTCAGGTTTCATATCGTTATTCATGTCAATCGTCATACTATTCTTAGTGTGGGATCCGTCGTTGAACAACATGGCTACTGTGTCTTTGTACTCCATCTCATCATCATCTCTGCTCCCACCATTTCTGTTCTCGTCATCTCGGCATTCATCAATTTTAATTTTTTCATCATTGTTTAGGTTCTCCTTTTCATCATCATCGTCCTTGTTCTTGTCGTTGAAGTAATTTTTATTTTCGCAGTTATATTTGTTTCTGAATCTATCATCTCCATCATTGTTTTGCTCATTATAATCATTGGTTCCGTCTTCATTAATTAAAGCATTCGTCTTTGTCATTATTTACTTCTACTAACTTTATTTCATCATGGTCGGCGTTATCGTTCTGAAGGCTTTCGTTAGCTTTGCTGGCAATGTGATGGTCTCTGATTAAAATTGGTATTTCCTTCTCTAATTTATCTAACCATTCTGCAATATTCGGTGTTATAATTATTTTTTCGTTTAAGTCTGGTATCACCGCAAATAAAACTGGCGTCGGGGGTACAGTATATGTTTTCCCTGGTGAATTATTTATTATTGGCAGAACTTCTAGCTTCACCGTATCAAACACATTCGCTTCGCCTCGTAGTCCAAGAATTGAAATCTTTCCTTGCACTTTCATCTTTGACGGTTCGATGAGATCTCGTCGTATACAACAAATCTCTGCGCCTCCGTCGATCAATGCCTTTTGGGGTAGTACACCTTCAACAGCAATATCGACGAATTTTCTTCTATAGAAATGTTTCCACTGAATATCTCGGGTATTTCGATTATATTGATAACTATTGTTTACTTCCAATCTGCGCTGCACTGAATTTCTTTGTATTTTAAATGAATTGTTGCAGTTTTTTGATAGATGACCAGGTTGTCGACATTTAAAACATAATCCTTTTCTCATAGCTTCTTCTTTAGTTTTGTCCAATATGCGTGGATTCGCTTCCTGTCTTGTATCAAACTGAGTAAATGCAGTGTCAACAAAAGAATTTTGTTCCGTTTCACGATGATATGATCTGTTATTATCCTTGACGTATGTCGCGGCATAATTATCAGCTATTCGTGCTAACTTATCACAATCTAACCAGCCATCTTGCTCCTGGCTAAGAACGAAATTTAAACAGTCTCTGGGTAGCAACTCCTTCATTCGGTCGGCCATTAATAAGTTCACTAGTTTATGAAAATCTGTTCCAATCTCTCTGCTTTTAAGATAAAAATTCCATAAGCTTTTTAACTTCGATAATAATAGTTGGTACGTTTCATTTGGTATTTTTTTCGTGCCGAAAAATTGTTCTCGCAATTTGACTGGACTGATTCTAAACTCGCTCAGTAGAAATTCTTTCAAAGTATTATAATCATCTAATTGTTGCACTGTTAATCGAGTTATAATAGACTTCGCTTTATCGTGTAAACACATTTGAAGAAGTCTTGACTTGACATCTTGATCAACTCCATTAGAACAGAAAGCGTTTTCGAGATGTACAAAAAAAGTTGGTAGTTCACTAGGGTTTTGGGGCATTTTCCACAATTGTTCTTTCATCGTGTCGCTGAACTTTTTAATTCTATTAATTAGCGAATTACTTTCCTTTTGTTTTAATAAAAATTCTTCCCTTTTTAATCTGAGTTCATCTTCTTTCAATCTCATTTCATCTTCTTTTAATTTTAACTCTTCCTTTAGTCTTTCTTTCAATTCGAGTTCTCGTTCTTTCAGTTCAAATTCCCTCGCCGCTTGTCTTTCTTTAAATTCAAATTCCTTCGCCGCTTGTCTTTCTTTAAATTCAAGTTCCTTCGCCGCTTGTCTTTCTTTAAATTCAAGTTCTTTCTCAAATTTCCATCTTTCCGTTTCAGTTACGTTCTGGGGAGGTTCAGATGTTTCGGTCAGAAGTTCTGTTCTCATCAATTCGCTAGCGAGACATGCATCGATAATCTCTTGTCTTGACATTGATCGTACCTCTGCCTCATCCCTTCCTGATTTAATCATTTTCGTCATTAAGCGCTCGGTAGACATTTTTTTAATTTCTGCCAATTTATCCATTATATTGTAATGATATAATCAATATTCTCAAAAATTTTTTTTTTTTTCCTTCTCCTTTTTTTTTTCTGTTGATAGTAGACCTGCCTAGTTATCCTGTCGACTGCGCCAGATGTCAGGTTCGTCACTAATATAACGTCAATAATCAAGATCAATGAAACTAGACAATCAACAGAAATTATAATTTAATTCGGCAACAGAACATTATAATAACATATTGAATATTTTTATCGTTCAAAATTTCTTAAGATTATTTTTATATATTAGTTTAAATTTGTTTTATCCGTTTTGGCAATATTTTAACAATATTCTATTCAATTCAACGTTTTTGTATTAAATTTATTAAATAAATTTAATTTCAAATAATATTTATTCAAATTTGTTTTCACAATATTCATTCCAAATTCGTTTTCACAATATTCAATTCGCTCGTTCAACAACGTTCTATATTCGTTCTAATCTCTCCTCGTTCAGTTCTTTTATCGCCCCTTATCTCCCGAAACAAATGTCATAGCGCTCAACTTTTAATTATAATATAGGTGACCTCCCTGACAATGCTCCAATAATATGTCAACTGAATGAACAAAATTATTATTGTTTATCATTCTAAAATTTAATATTTATAAAATATAATTTATGTTAAGAATAAAAAAAATAATAATCATGATACATGTGCTCATTGGTAGCTTACATTTTTCATAAAAACTACCATTTCTAATGGATTTTGTTCTGCTGCAGGCCGTATGGTTTGTACAACGCCATATCTATTCATCTGCTGCTTTTTTGGAATTGTACAAACGCATAACTTTTCCACAAACGCATGTCATTCCAGACGACAGCAATCCGTGTTGTATCGCCCAGTCCACTGCTTTTTGTTTCGAATTTATGGCGTTTGTCAATTCCATTAATGACAGACTATTAACGGCCGGAAAGTTCATGACTACAGATAAATTCAAAATGTCGAAAAAATGACAGAAAAACCAGACGAAAAAATGACAGAAAAAACAGAAGAAAAAATGGCAGAAACATACGCGTTTTTATTTAAAAGTGAAACATACATTCATGAAAAGGGCGCTATAAAAATTAAGTGAAACATCATACATTACGGAAAGGGCGCTATAAAAATTAATTTGATTGATTGATCATAATTTATTTTATTAATAAAATAAATCAGCAGTTTCTTTTTAAAATAATTAACACAAGCCGTTTTTAAAATATTTATTATTGACAATTATTTTGAAATGAAAAACAAATTAAAATTTTTAAAATATCTATTATTGAAAATTAATTAAAAATTAATAAATGAAAATGATTGAAAAAAAGATCTTTTCTTGTTCTCGTCTTGTAATCTAATAAACATAAATATTAAAAAGGGGGAGGAGCTAAATGGCGCAAATTAAGCTGGATTTTTTAACTCTTTGTTTACTATTTTATGGAATTTCCCAATGCCATCCTGAGGTTTTGCCGGTTTATATAACCGTATTTAATCGTTAAATGGATATTGCCATTTTTTGGTGCATTAGAAAAATCGAAGATTTATTCGTTAGCGATCCTCATTTTTTTGAAATAAAGATTTCTTCATTCATTTTCCCAGCACCCGCGAATCACGATGATGATGGACTTCATTCATATCATTTCATTAGAAGAGTAAGAATCGTTCCTAAATTAAATTAGAATCTAGAAAACGAAAAGAAGTCGGTAAAAATTTTATTGTAAAAATGAAATGTTATTAATATTTAAAAAATATAATTCATAATCAATTTATTATATTGTTATAAATAAATTATTAATCAACTAATAATTTTTAAATTAAGTTAAGATGTAGTAATTCCTGTGCATATGTCCTAAACTAGAATCTTTCAACACCCCAAAGCTTACAATACAAAGGAATATTTGCTTTCAACATAACATACCCAAACCAAATTTAATCGCACAGAGGAGGTTAGGTTGAAATTTATTTTGGTAGTAAAAGCAAACAATCTTTTTTTTCTTTTCAAACTTTAAATTATTTATTAATATATTAAATTAATTATATAATAATTTGTTAAAATCAAATTCTTTAACTTAACTATTTCATCTATAATGGACATTATTAATATATTAAAAAAATAATAGCTTAATTAATATTAAGCTAATATGAAATTCATTATGCCATTAATTAATTTAAAACGAACAACTGTTGATTTTTAATAGAATTGGTGTGTAATGTTAAATAATTTTTAGTTTTACATTACTGTTTATAAAATAACCCTGAAGGTGCTAGATCATGAGCATGTATATTTTTATATTTACGTATAAGTAAGTTGTTATATTTCTTGCTTGTTGATTATAAAACATCTATCTTGCTATAATTAGTAATTAACTTAACTCGTAGTTAGATCAGTCCATTTTTTTTTATTTATGGATTTCGGTTTTGTTTATTGTATAACTGCAAAATGTTTGATTTACATAATTATAAATTTATCTTTCAACTATCTTAAAAAGTAAAATATATATATATATATATATTTACAATATTTTATAAATTCTACCGAATGTTTGGCGTTAATATGTTTGTAGTTCGTTTTTACGATTTTTCTCACTAAAGTTTTTTGGTGAATATATATATATATAAAGATAAAACTAAGGCTGTAGAATTTGCTTCTGATGTAGTCTATTAGAAGCACTGTACAAATTCAATAAAACAATTGATTTAATAAATTTAAATTGTATAATTTTTGTTGCATTTTATTATTTAATTTACTTTTGATAAAACTGCATGTTGATAGAAAACTCTTTAGTTAAGTTAAAACGTCTTAATGTTGTATATGATGATTTTTTTTTGTTAATTCATAATAGTGGTTTGCATTCTGTACATCATTGAAATTATTTTCCATGTTAAATAAATCTTTGTTGACACATTGTGGGAGTATGTTGCTTTCAATTACAAGTTTTTTCTTAAAACAATAATCATTTATTTTTAATAATCTTTCTGATTCTTGACAGATCGTAAATCATTAAAATTTATTGCTTTTACCAGAAAATAAATAAATGTATCATTTTACTTTTAATACTCCTTTCGAGGGATATGTCAATTGTATGATGAGATGATTTGATGATTCGCTAAATATGTTTCTACTGGCTGAAGTCAAGCATTTTCTGCATATTTGTAGGGATTTGTAACAGCATATTAATGCAAAATTTTAAATGAATTTTGGAGATTTTTACATTAGAAGAAAAAAGAACCTGCATTCTGCACATGACATGGTCGGTTTTATAGACTTCACCACCCACCTGCCATGTATGCAGGGCAATTGCTGACAATATACTGCTGTGACGCATGCTCCACAAATACGTTGTCATCAAAATCTGCCCCAAAAATAATGTTACTAAGCAGTTCTTCTGTTTCAAATGATGACACATTTCCTTTGTTACCTGTGAATTGCAGAGTAGCTTTAAATCTATTCAGTTTATAATTTTCATGTCAAAATACTTAGTATAACTGTTAAAAATTTGCAGCAAATCTTTTTGTAAACATTGCTGAATTGTTGGCAATTTATGCGACTGCAGCATCCACCTGCATACAATTAATTTTTTATGTTATTTCATTATTATGACTTAAGTCAGAAAGCTTAATACCTGATCTTCTTACATAGTTGAAATAAAGTTCCAGTGCATCCTGACTGAAACGGTAAGTTGTTCATTCAACAATTCTTTCGAAATATCAATTATTGAATTTATGGTTGTACAAAAGACCATTATGCACATTTTATGCACATTATGCACATTTTTCTGAAATTGTTTGTAATTAGTTTTAGTTTAGATATTGAAATATATATAAAAAAGAACCTTTGAGTTTTGTAAATGTTAACACCATCTAAATTTTTCAAACTTAGTAAGTAGGCTTTCATTTCATAAAGTTTATCTATAGTGGCTGTCAGGTTGCTCTTTGTAATGGATTGCTTCCATTCTCTATCTAGCATCAGTTTGTGTTCAATATATGGAAAAGATCATTGATGTTTTTCACAAAAGCTATTGTTTCAGAAACGTCAGAAAAAACATCAAATCCGTTCAAGAGTTCCAATGATTTAGCCACAGAGCAACTAAAGACTTGAGTTGAGATGCATATTTAACTTTCATCTTATGCTTTTCAAAATTTACATGATTTTTGGTTAATTTATTTTTTAATTTCATTTTGATTTGTTGTTGATAATTAACTAAGTTTACGATATGATTACATATTCCTCATTAATTTCAGCATGTGGCATGCATCAAATATGATATATATTTTCTGGCCGGTTGGTGGGGACAAAAAACTTGTTTGCATGTTTGGAAATGTGAAAGAGCATCTAAGCAATTCACATGCCGAAACGTTAGTGGCCAACCCATTTATTACCAGTGAAACAACCCTAAAAAATAAATATAATGTATAAAAATTTTAACATATTTTTAAGAAAAACAAATGTTGTTTACCCTAACTCTGGCATTATGTAACTTATCAATGGCTTTCTTTATAAAATCTTTCAACTTGTGAGATGATAATTTCTTTGTATAAAAATAAGCTATTTAATGCCTCCAAGCTTCTCTCAGACCAACAACATAAAAAATCAACACCTCTGAAGCAACTATGTCCTCATTCCCATCTCCATAGTTAACATATCCAATAAAGTCATCTTCACAAATAAACAATGCGTTTGATAATTTATATGCTTAACATTTAACATCAATAAAGTTTAAAAAATTGAAGACAAATGCTTATAGTGAAATGGGAAACAAAAAAAATCAAGAAATAAATAAAATACACAAGGAATAAACTAGCATATGCTACCAAAATATGCTATATTTTAAACTCACAAATTTACAAACAAAATATATTTTAAAAAACCTACCAATTTTCCTATTATACGTTATTTGAGGCTTTATTGATATCGAATCAAGGATTAAAGAGAATCTGCAATATTTCATTTGCAGTACATATTTCTTTATATAACAATACTAGTTTACAGAATATCATTATTAACAAAATTTTACTTGTTCAATGTTCTCGAGTGTGGCAGTGTTAGTCCACTTTTTCTTAAAAATTGATATGCACGAGGACCATGAAAATGCAGCTGCATATAAAAGGTCTTGTAGCTATCATTATATACTTTATTAACTCTTTTAAATGGTATGAGTTTTTTATCTAGAAGCAAAAAAAAACAAAAAATTAATCAAAAATTCAATTCATTTTGCTATGGTTATATAACATAAAACCTTTGTATGTAGCTAATTCATTTTTTAATTTATTACATTCATTCATAAGTTTTCTTATTGTCGCCTGCAGCATTGTGATTCTGGACTTGTAATACTTTGATTGCCTTTGCTGTTGCTTGATGAGATGTGCATCCATTGAGCAAAACGTCTAAATATGATTTAAATTTGAAAGTAAATAGCTGAATTTAAAATTTTTCATCTTATATATATATATATAACATATATATATATATAACATATATATATATTAAGGTGTGTCAAATTTTAAAAAGTTTTTTTTTTGAAAAAACCAGGGCATGGCAAAAGAAACTTTTTGATGTCCTGTTTCCGTTGGTATCTTTCAATTTTGAATAGATGCACTTTAAGCTTGGTAAATTTTGAGTGAAAGTTTTACAAATATACTACATTATTTACGGGAGAGCGGGTAACATGACTAAGTTGAATGTACCCCCATTGTTAGTTATGCTATAAATCATGAAAAATTCATAAAGCAGCATTTGTCAAGCTGTTTACTTTTTGATGGAAAAAGGGATGACACCAAGGTGATACTTGACGTTGTTGGTTCTTCCAAGAAATTTCCAGGTATGGTAAAGGAGGAGCACTATTCAATATGCAGTAAACCAGGAGGAAAATATTTGTGGCATTTTGTTCCTGGGAAAGCTACTGAGTCCAAGAAACCAGCGGAGATAATTGAAGATAACATTGTTGAGTGGCTGAAAGAGAAAAATATTGATGATAGGCTTCTGGCTATTGGTTGTGACAGTACCAATACAAACACTGGCAGACATGGCGGTTTGATGCAGTGGAATGAAAGAAAGCTTGGCAGAAATCTTGTTTGGCTAGTATGTGATCTTCACACAAATGAATTACCACTGAGACATTTCATTCAAGAATTGGATGGTCAAACACTGAGCGATAATCGATGGTCAGGACCAATTGGTAAGATGCTTGGTGATGCAATAGACCTAGAAATAAATCCAAATTTTGTCAGGATAACTGTTGGTCCTCCATTGATTGAGTTAAAACAGAGTGTGATTGATGACATCAACACAGACCAGTATTATGAATACATGATTGTTAATGCTATCAGATCTGGTGCTGTGTCTGACAGGCTTGCGAACTTACAGATTGGACCTGTCTGTCACTCAAGATGGTTGACTACAGCTCTAAGATGTTGCAGATTATGGGTTTCCAATCATGGTCTGAAAGATATGCCACTTAAAAATTTGAAATTGATTATCGAATTTATAGTCGGAGTTTATATGCTTAATTGGTTTAACATCAAAGTAAAGCATAGTTGGATTGATGGTCCGAGACATGTTATTTTTCAGCTTGAGCTTTTCAGAAGCCAAGACAAAGAGGTGATGCAGATAGTGATGCCTGTGGTAAGAAGATCAGCCTGGTATGCACATTCTAAAGCTGTCATCCAGACACTGATTTGTAGTGACAAGGAGGAAGAAAGAAAAGTTGGAATTGAAAAGATTCTTGAGATCAGAGGAAATGCAGATGAGAATGTTCAGATGGGGGATATGAGTTTAAGACAAAGGGTAACACCAGATATCAATCCTGATGCCAGCAGCCTACTTGAATTCATTCATTGGGATTCTGAAATGTATGAATCTCCTCTAACTAGTAGCTTAACAGCGGCTCAAGTCAAACAATTTTTGCACACTCCAATGATAATCGCAAACTGGCCCTCACACATTCAAAGTATTGAGAGATTTATCAAGATGGTTACAGAGACAAGTGAGCATGTCTACAGTCAGGAAAGAAGGCATGGATATATTAGATCACAAATCGTCAGCAGACAACTAATGAGTAGACATGCGAGCAAGAAGGACATGAACAATCTTGTAAAGTTTGGAAATAATTGACATTTGCTGTAAGCTGAAAAACTGTCGACTTTTATAATTGACATAACATTGATTAGACATTGTATATAATGCTAATACTATTTCAGTATTTAATCAAAATATAAAATTTGTCGTTGCTTAAAATTAGTTTTCTTTTTTCGATGATTTTTAAAATTAATTCCTGAATTACGAAAATAAACATTATAGCTGAAATTTCAACATAAAATTTACCAAGCTTAAAATTTTCAAATCTAAAATCTGAAGGTTAATTTGGATTCAGCATACAAAAATGTATCTCTTTGTAACCCCTGGTTTTTAAAAATCTAAAAAAATCAATTTACGATATAAAATTGACACACCCTATTATATATATATATATATATATATATATATAAATAACATATATATATATATATATATGTGCCCAATAAAAATAAAATAAAGAAACTCTTTGTATTCTGTATGTATTTCTTATGACAAAAAGCCATTTTAACAAAGACAAAGGCATCCTAACAATAATTATAAACCCATAATATAAAAACAATGTAAAAAATATTTGAACATTAATTGACGATAGTTAAAAAAATAAAAAGTCAAAAGTTTAAAATGAAAATACAAAAAAGAAAAGCCTCTTTTTTTCTACTAGTCTGGTCTTTCTCCTGACACAATGTAACATTTTTAAAACTTTTAAACAAATGAACTTTATAAAATCAAAATGGATCAAATAACAAATGATTCCAAAAATTTTACATAATTCAGTTAAATTATTAAGTTAAAAATCGATTAAAACTAAAATAGAATAATTTTAGCAGCAAAAAATGTTTACAAGAATGCCGCCGGTGGCACGTTAACAGGGAAGAAGCTAAATATAGATTGGAAAACTGAAAAACCAATTGACAATTTGGTGCTAAAAAAGTTTGCTTCCAAGTTTCCTGACCTTGAGAAGAAGGTCAACACTATAAAGCCATTCTTACATACAATTCAATGGTTTTAGCCCAAGATCTCTGATCGATTTTCTGTGGTAGTTATTTTTTGCAGTGTGAATTGTAAACAGAACATCTTTCAGTCAAATCTTCAATTTCATGGGACAAACCAGGCTAGTATAAAAAAGAGCGTGCTATAGCTTTTTTTGTCAATTTCAAGATGACCGTAATGTTAGAAGTTAAAAAGGTTAAAGGTCAATTTATTTTGTGCAAAGATTTTGACACAATGAGCTTTCATTCATAAGATAAAAGTCCATCAGGCTCATAAATGTTGGAAGCAATTTTCGTAAAGAATTTCAACTCTGGAGGTAGTTTTTTAACATACACACGACTTATCCACGACTGGAGTGTAGAAGATGTGGATTTTTGTGTGTTGCAACTCTAAATCCCTCTAGCTTGCTAATGTTAGCTGGAATGTTTATGGTCATAGTATGTACTAAAACTTCTATGTTACTGTCAAGAATTGGCTAATGATAGGCTAAAGGGGCTGTTGTTGTTTTGTGCATTTTGATGTTGCCATAAAAATATCCAATATCTTGGAGTAATTCGATTTTTTTTCATGAGGTACATTTTTGTACCTATTGGTATGACGACGACTAAGTTATCGAAAAGACTCACGATGCACGAACAACCTATTGAAAAACTATTTAATTAGCGCCATATAAATATTCGTGTATATATATATATATATATATATATATATATATATATATATATATATATATACATACCATCTTCGGTGTTCAAATTGATATATTGTGGTTGTGCCCAGATGATCAAATATATTTTTTTGCCTATTTATTGGTTCCTTGTTTATCCAAAGTGAATATTTAGTTTTATAATCTTTCGACATCGTATCAAATATATTACTTTTATGTGTTTTCATTATCGATAAATATAACACTTTTATGTGTTTTCATCATCGATGATATAACACTTTACATGTTTTCATTATCGACTCTAGGTAAAAATCTCCAACTCCGATTCCCGACTCCGACACGTGGTTTCGTGGTTTCCAAAAAATTTTTTCAACTTTTGTATCATAATTTCACCTTTTTATCACTAATAGATGAAAAATATTTTAAGAAATATTTAAAATCAGTCAATGTAGTTATTTTTCATTGTAATTTTGATATAAAATTCCACAATATATTTCCTGCTAAACGACTTCAGAAAAACAATGCTGTAAAAGCCAGCGACGAGGAGTATAGTTCTTTCAGAATCTGTATTCCTGAAATTGAAATGGATAAAATTTTTAATGCTGAAATATGGCCTTTACACGCCAATGTTCGTAAGTGGTTATTTTACACGAGTCAAGCGCCTAAAACTCCATCCGCTGTTAATGGTTAGTATTTCATCTTTCAATAATCAAGCGCCTAAAACTCCATCCGCTGTTAATGGCTAGTATTTCATCTTTCAATAATTATATTAACAATGATTTAACTTGTGATTGTAAATAATACTACATTTCAAATTCAATAATTAATGATTTAAATGTTGAAAACATTAATTGTGCAAAACTTGCTTTTACTATTATACATATCAATGCAAGAAGTATTTTTCACAAAATGAGTGACTTGAAATTTTTTTGGATTCCTTTCCTTTTCGTTTTATTGTTGTTGTGATTTCAGAGACGTGGTTAGATGATACGACTGCTTCTTTGATTGATTTGCAAGGATTTAAATTCATATTTAGACAGAACTAAAGTTTGCCTGTGGGGCTGTAGAATGGCGCTTCGGTAGTGCAAATTTGAAGAAGGAACTTCAGGGTGTTGGAATCTTTATTTCTGAAACAGATAACTCACGGTATCGATGAAAAAGTAATACATGACTCTGCGGAAACTTTGACGCTGACGATCTCAATGAACAACCATAAATGTTTTAAAATCATAACTGTTTACCGACTACCGATTCCTGATTTTGACGAATTCTTGAGTTTATTCGAAAATATGTTGCTAAGATGTAATTCACCCTTATATTGCAAGATATTTCAATATTAACCTGGATTCTGTCTCGATAGATAAATTTAATTTTGAAAGATTGTTTTTTCACAAATTTCACGCTTTGATAAATATCCAATATCTTGGGGTAATTCGATTTTTTTCCATGAGGTACATTTTTGTTGGTTTTTTATAATTGCGTTGAGTTTAGTTTTTAGGTAAATAGAAGTGTTTTTTTAATGCTTGAAAGTTTATGCTGTCGTTGAGTAAGTGTTCAATTTTGGCGTTATAGTCAGTTTTATCAAGGGCCAAAAATTGATTAGACTTGACTGCACGGCAAATGACAATTTCTTCATTTTCTTTAAATTCCTTTGCGGCAGTTCTAGGATCATCTGTTAGAAGTTTGCTTTGAAAATTCCTCTTTGTTTCACGGCTGGGCTCTTCAGTTAACTTTTGAAAATATTGCTATCAGCAATAAAAAGTGTCAGTCCTGGGCATGACATAAAACTGCATCCACGCTGCCTTGCGTGCTTTTGAGCAAAAGGCTAGGCCCACCGCTTATAACTGGTGGTTGTCGTCAGGATGGGTGTCCGGATATAAAAACTTTCCCCAAACTATTCTATGCCATCAAAAACAAAAACAACGGCCTCTAGTCCCCAGCGGGCCTTAAGTGGTCAAGGGGTGCTAAGAATCCCTGGGAAGTGTGCAATAGTGGAGGGAGTTGCAGAAAAATTCAAAATGGCCCCTCTATGGTACTTAGACTTGGAACGCTCAATGTTGGATCACTGACTGGCCGGAGCATGGAAATTGCAGAAATGCTCGAGCGTAGAAGGATTGACATCTGCAGCCTTAAGGAGACCCGATGGAAATCGAATGGTATCTGTCATATCAACTCAGACAATGAAAATTATAAACTATTCTGGAATGGTCAAAAAACGGCCAAAAAGGTATTGGAATTTTTGTCAAATAACCGCTAGCCCAAGAAGTACTGGATATTAAAAAAATTAATTCACGTCTCATGTGGATCAAGCTTCGCTTAGAAAAGCAATTACTTTTTTTGCATACGCACAAAAGACAGGCGAATCAGAAGAGATGAATAATGACTTCTGGGTTGCGTTCTCTGACACCATCTCAACAATACCAAAATCTGAAACAATCCTGATTGGAGGCGATCTCAATGGCCACGTTGGAGAGAAAACAAATGGTTTTGACAACGTACATGGCGGTTTTGGCTATGGAGAACGGAATGAAGATGGCAACCGCATCCTTGAATTTGCTGAAAGTCACGGGTTTTGTTTACTGAACACATATTTTAAAAAGAGGTTAGAACATCTCTAATATACAAAAGTGGGCCATCAGCCACGCAAATTGATTTCTTCGCTGCCAAGCAACAACACCGAAAGCTATTCAAAAATGTCAAAGTTATACCTGGCGAATCATGTGTCGCCCAACATAGACTCCTTGTGGCAGACCTGGCTGTCGAACTGTCAAAACATAAATCTAAACAACTGCCTTGGAGAATCAAAACGTGGAAGCTGAAAAGCAATATTCATCGAGAAAAATTTCAACAGATTGTCGCTACACAGTTAGACCACCAATCGCAAGCCAGTAACAGATTGGAGTACATACAAAACCGTTTTGATAAACGCTGCAACTACAGTGTGTGGGAAAACTGGTAAAAACGTCAGTATGAAAGAGAGACTTGGTGGTGAAATGACAGTGTACAAAAGGCAATAGCTGAAAAAAAGCTGCATAAAAGCAATGGCAAAAATCAAAGTCTGTAGATGACCATAAAATTTTCCGTGAGAAGAACAACTATGCAAGACGTCAAGTCGCTCTGGCTCGGAAAGATCAGTGCAGAGAGTGACTCACTAAAAGCAAAAGTGCACAAATGAAATCTCTGTATCGTATAGCAAAACAAGCAAAGCGTACGAAAAAAGACATAGTTGGTGCCTCATGTATCAAAAACGACAAAAATGAGATGGTTCTTGAACAAGATGAGATCAAGCTACAGTTGAGAGAATACTTCAACCGTTTGTTAAATGAAACAAATCCCTTCAATGTCAACTTTGACTCTCCACCCATCGAAGGTCCGATTCCAAACATCACTGTAGAAGAGCTTACAGAAGCTCTGAAAGCTATGAAGGATGGAAAGGCAGCAGGGCCCTCTGGACTCACAAATGGCATTACCAAAGCATCTGGTACTGCATGTATCCAAACGTTACTACAACTTTGCCGTGAAATCTGGAGAAATTGCTCAATGCCGACTGAATGGAACTATAGCATGCCAGTTCCGCTAAACAAAGGCAAAGGTGATCCATTAAACTATTCATCATATAGGGGTATATGTCTGTTAGAACACTCCCTGTTAGAATTGTCGAGCAAATCTTTGAAAGAAGATTAACGTCGTGCATCACAATCGGAAATTATCAATTTGGTTTCCTAGCGGGGAAATCAAAAATTGATGCAATAGAAGTACCTCGCAAAGAGAAGTACCTCGCAAAGAGAAGTACCTCGCAAGAGAAGTACCTCGCAAAGCATCAACAACTATCACACATTTTTGTAGATCTTGAAAAAGCATTTGATCGAATTCCCCGTTAAACAATTAGATGGAGTCTGGGTCGACAACTCATTCCAGAATATCTTGTTCGACTTGTGATGGAAATGTATACGAATACTAAGACTCTCCTCAGCACAACGGTTGGAAACACAGATGCATTTGACATCGGCGTTGGAGTTCACCAAGGCTCGATTCTCAGTCCACTGTTATTTATAACTGTGATGGAAGAAATCACAAAACCGATACGCACTGGTGACATTTAGAATCTAATATATGCTGATGATATCTTTTTAACAGCCACGTCTGAGCCGAATGCAGCACAGTTGTTTGAAGATTGGAACACCAGACTCGCCGATCATGGAAACAAAGTCAACATCAGCAAAACCAAAGCAATGAACACTGGTGAACCCATCCAATCCACAGCTACTGGATGATGGCCCTGTTTGTTCAGTTTGTAAAGCTGGTGTAGGTAACCATTTAATCAAATGCCAACAGTGTAACCAGTGGTGTAACAAACGCTGTTCACAAATAATTGGTGCTTTATCTAAAGTGTCCAATTTCGTTTGTCCTGCTTGCATCAATCCACAACAACAAACTCGAAATTGCAATGTTTTTGAAGCCATTAAGGTAGAAAAAGTCGCATCCTTTCAATATCTAGGGGATGTTCTGGATTGTACTGAAACACGGCAATGTTGTAGTAACGTTTGGATACATGCAGCCTGGAATAAATGGCATCTCCTTGTCTCTATATTGATGCGGCGTGACATCCCACTACCACTACGATCAAGACTTTATAAATCTGTGATAAAAGACGAATGCCGGCAACACCGTCTGCGGTGGTTTGGTCATGTCAAACAAAGTGGAACCAGTGCCATAACTTCTCTTGCAGATGTTGAAGTACCTGGCACACGTCCCAAAGGCCGTCCAAAGAAGTCCTGGTCGCAAACAATCGAGCAAGACCTGAAGGCTCTAAACTTAAATGAAATGGATACAACTGATCGTCTAATTTGGCGCAAAAAATTGATGGCAAAGAAAACAACGTCCTACCTCGGGGAACTGGGTTGATTGATTAATAAAAAGTGTATTATTTATGTTTTTTAAAATTAACTTATTTGTAGTTTGAATTTATATATTCAAATATTGCTATTGTATTAAGGATCGTGGAAGAAGGTCCGAGTTTTTTTTAGCACGAAAACGGGTTTTTGAAAGATTGAGTTTCTGTAGCCTTGATTTTTTATACTTTTTTTCATGCATATATTAATACATTCACTAATCAAATTCGACGTAAACTATAAAAAGGTGGTTTTGTTTTACTAGAGGGAAATATTCTTAAATTAATTATTTTGTCAAAGTTTTTTAGCACGGAAACGGGTTTATTGAAGATTGTGTATCCAGTAGCCATGATTTTTGAAACTTTTGCTGCATGCATTTATAGGTAATCAAATTATACATTAACTAATGAGAAACAAGGAAGTGACATCAACAAAGATGAAGAATATGACACCAACTAAGTCTAAAAAAACTATATAAACCAAAGCCGTACTGGAGGTGATTTGTGAAAAATCGAAATGCATGATGAATTTTGATAACAGCAGTTTTATTTTTAATAAATTTGTGTGATGAATTTGGATAATAATTCTATTTTTAATAAATTGAACAATTTCCAAAGAATTCTACTTAGAAAACTTTAAATTAATTAATGCCAACAATTCGTTAATAATTAAATCCAAGTCTATTTCGTTTATCACACTGAATTATATATAGGAATGGATTTATAGTATTGACTTCTTCTCAAGGTCAGGAAACTTGGAAGCAAACTTTTTTAGCACCAAATTGTCAATAGGTTTTTCAGTTTTCCAATCTATATTTAGCTTCTTCCCTGTTAATCTTAGTGCTACCGGCGGCAAATTTTTGTAAATATTTTTTACTGCTAAAATCATTCTATGTCAGTTTTAATCTATTTTTAACTTAATAATTCAACTGAATTTTGATCCATTTTGATTTTATAAATGTCATTTGCTTAAAAGTTTTAAAAATGTTACATTGTGCCAGGAGACACTAGGCCCAGACTAGTAGGAGAAAAGAGGCTTTTTTATATTTTGAATTTTTGACTATTTTTTTAACTATCGTTAATTAATGTTCAAATAAACTCAAAAATTTCAATGTCGGTGAGTTCGTTAGTGTATTTTAAAAAATCGACGCTTGTACTTGCATCGAAATTTTTTCAACAACAAATAATGGGTCTTAATTAGAACTAAATAACAAGCCACATTAATCTTTTTACCATATTGATGTTACTTTAAATTTTAATATAATAAATATATTCTTTCAATTATTTATAATAAATATTACTATTGAATCAAATAATTGTAATACATTTTTTTAGATATGCTGCCTGAAAATATCTGATCTTTGGAATGGGCAGACTATAAGCAGTAACTTAGTTTTTGAATATAATTGCTATCTGTTATTTTTATTAAAAATGCCATTAAAACAGGTAATATGATTTTAATAATATTTTTATATCATTTGCATATTTTATGATTCACTTGACCTCTCTCCATGGATTGATAGATATAAATTTCAATAATTCCTTTTTTGACAAACTGCAATATGCATGGTAAGATGAAGGTAAAGTCAATAACACTGACCATCTCATGCACAGAATGCAGGTTCTTTTTTTCTAATGTAAATATCTCCAAAATTCATTTAAAATTCTGCATTAATATGCTGTTACAAATCCCAACAAATATGCAGAAAATGCTTGATTTCAGCCAGCAGAAACATATTTAGCGAATCATCAAATCATCTCATCATACTAAAAGACAATTGACATATGCCTCAAAAGAATTATAAAAGTAAAATGATACATTTATTTATTTTCTGGTAAAAGCAATAAATTTTAATGATTTTCAGATCTGCCAAGAATCAGAAAGATTATTGAAAATAAATAATTATTGTTTTAAGAAAAAACTTGTAATTGAAAGCAACATACTCCTACAATGTGTCAACGAAAATTTATTTAACATGGAAAATTATTTCAATGATATACAGAATGCAAACCACTATTATGAATTAATAAAAAAAAATAATAACATCATATACAACATTAAGACTTTTTAACTTAACTAAAGAGTTTTCTATCAAAATGCAGTCTTAATAAAAGTAAATTAAATAATAAAATGCAACAAAAATTATACAATTTAAATTTATTAAATCTATTGTTTTATTGAATTTGTACAGTGGTTCTAATAGACTACATCAGAAGCAAATTCTACAACCTTAGTTTTTATCTTTTATATATAAATATATGCGTATATATTTCACTTTTTAAGGTAGTTGAAAGATAAATTTAGAATTATGTAAATCAAACATTTTGCAGTTACATAACAAATAAACAAAACCGAAATCTAGAAATAAAAAAGGTAGGACTGATCTAACTTGACTCATCACGAATAATTACTAATTATAGCAAGATAGATGTTTTATAATCAACAAGCATGAAATATAACAATTTACACATAAATATAATAATATACATGCTCATGATCTAGCACCTTCAGGGTTATTTTATAAATAGTAATGTTAATTAAAAATCATTAAACATTACATACCTATTCTATTAAAAATCAACAACTGTTCGTTTTAAATTAATAGCATAATGAATTTAATGTTAGCTTAAAGTATTTTTTTAATATATTAATAATGTCAATTACAGTTGAAATAGTTAAAAAATTTGATTTTAAATTAAATTATAAAATTTATTTAATATATTAATAAATAATATAAATCATAACATTTAAAAAGAAAAAGATTGCTTGCTTTTACTACCAAAATAAATTTTAAAAACCTCCTGTGTGATTAAATTTGGTTTGGGTATTTTATGTTGAAAGCAAATATTTCTTTGTAGTTTGTATTGTAAGCTTTTGAGAGTTGAAAGATTCTAGTTTTTAGGATATGCACAAGAATTAAATCTTAATTTAAAAATTATTAGTTGATTATTTATTTATATTTTTATAACAATATATTATAAATTGATTATCAGTTATATATTTTAAACAGTAATAACATTTTATTTTTACAATAAGATTTTTACCGATTTCTTTTTGTTTTTTTGATTCTAATTTAGTTTAGGAATGATGAGAGCCTTACTCTAATGAAATGATATGAAGTGTAAATGAAGTCCATCATCATCATAATGCGTGGGTATTGGGAGAATGAATGAAGAAATCTTTATTTTAGAAAAATGAGGATTACTAACGAACTTATTATAAATAAATCTTCGAATTTTCTGATGCATTAAAAAAATGGCAATATCAAGTTAACGATTAATACGGTTATATAAACCTTATAAATTAGCCTAAAACTTAAACGGAATGTTGAAAACGAAATAAATTTTAATAAACGAGTTGAATGTAGATCGGCAAACATAACTTCGGGAAGGCCAAGATTTTTCTAATTATATCTCAGGTTTTTCTAAAAATAAACCAAATAATTAATTTATAATTAATGAATAATTAATTTTTTAAGAACTTGCCTCCAGAGGAAGCTCGCCCGTTGAAAAAAAATTTCAATGCTAAAACGCCGGTAGGGCGCTTCCAGTTATATAATTCCATGGTTTATCATATCTTTGTAAAAATGAAGAAGAGATACAGAAATGGGTTATTTTTGTCCCATTATCTGGGTTAACCTTCTAAGCCCAGAAAATAACCGTTTAGTTGTGGCGGAAATCGTAGGAATGGTTACAAAAATGCTTAAAAACTTGACTAATTTCTTAAGATGTTTAATTAGATGCGACTGCTTTTTCAAATAATGGATATCGTTTATGCTTTCAACAGATTGATCTGCTTCTTTTAAAATTTGCAGCAGCGTCTCTCGTTGCACAATCAAGTGGTCTGGATCTGTCCTCTATAAAATTTGAAAACTTTAGATTTGTTTGTACCGTCACTTAGCAAAAACTGCTCGATTTCCGAAATGAATTTTAAGAATTTGCTCAAATCTCGCCTTCAGTGCTTTTAAAATCACATTAATCACTGGTATGCATTTTTAAAGCATTTTTTAGAGGTCTTAAATATTTTAATTGTTCTAACACAATTCGACACGTTGATTTCAAATATGTACGTGAAATATTTCTATCACATCAGAATGTTTTGCAAATTCAATTTTAACATATTTATTTTTTTACTGATTTTTAACGTTTTATCTTCACGATTATTTACAAAATAATTTGTTCAAGTTAATTTTTTTACAAAAAATTAATAAAATGTAAAGTACATAAAGCATAAAACTTCCAATTAAGTACAAAAACTTTTTCTTTTTGATTTTCTCCGTCAAATAGCCGTCAAATTTTAGCCGTCAAATTTTAGCCGTCAAATTTTAGCCGTCAAATTCTCCCTTATCAGCATCCAGCAATAGTCCACCATCATGTTACCATTATATCGCCTTAGATATCGGATTTTAATTGTTTTAAAGTCTTGGTGAAACCTTCCACCTATTTCTTCACTATAATCACCAAGACTTTTAGGAAAATATTCCGAATGTGAAAATAAAAAGTAAATTTTAAGGTTCATTCGACATCCTAATTTTTGGAATGCTGAAAGCATTTCCTTAAAATTACTTCGTAGTTTGTTGCTCTCTTGTTCTCTAGAAATTAATTCGTGCTTTATAACTGGTCCATGCATTCAATTCCAATTAATTTTTTATTTTAATAAATTCGTTATCTTCTGATATTTAGACCATCGAAAATCCCAGCAATCAATTTCTCATTACTAAAAATTTTTATAAATTCTGCTTCACGATTGTATACCATGAAAAAGTTATTTCAGTTTCTCCTAAATTTTTAGCCTTTAAACCTAATCCCAGCAACTTTGATGAAATTTTTGATGAATTCAAATTTCGAACAAGGTCGTTTAATTCAGCCTGAGAAAATGCTCCTCTAGAATCTGAATTGCTAAGTGAAAAATTTTCTTTATCGGCTTCAACAACTTGATTCATCATTTGGTAAAACTTCTTCTATGTCAATTGGTATTGGAACAGGAATGTCATTTTCATGAGGTACTGGTCTCAATGCTGAAGGCAAATTAGGATATAATAAATCTTTTTTATTCTTGTTGTAAAAACCTTTAGTGTTTACTATGCAAAAGTAATCGTCTGTGTGATTTTTGGGTTCACGCTAAATCATTAGAATTCCAAAACTAAAAAAAGTTTTCAAACCTCTGCTCCAACTTCTTAGTCCTTCTACACATGTCTTATCATGATCACATAATTTTATTTTAAAATATGCATGATAGATTATTTTACAAATCCATTGACTTTGCTTTTGAGGCGTTTATCTTCCACAAATATAACAAAATGAATTTAGAGAATTCAAACAACATCTCTGGAACTCGAACTAGTAGCCACGTTGAATGATATGAATAAAAATGAATAGAAATTCCAATACTAAATAATGAATTTATTTTAATTAAATGAGCAGGCCTAGATTTTGATGATATAAGCAATTTCATATACATATGTGCGTGTCTGTGTGTATACAACATTGTCCATGTGAGTAATAAATATATACACAGCACATGCACTTATATATATATTGGATTATATCATTGAAATATCAGACTTTATCTGGATTATGTAATGTATTTCATTTATATGATGTTTTAAATCATTTTTTGGAATTATGAAAAAACTGTACATGATCGAAAAAAAGGATTACATATTTGAAATCAGCACAATGAAATCTATTCTTAACAAGTTTAATTTTTAAAACATCTGATATCATGCATACCAGTAAATTTTCACATGTTGCTGTTCCTTAAGAGAAAGATTATTTTGTGGTTCCGGCAAATCATTAGTTTCAAATCGTTTTGGAATGTTTCGTTTTCTCTGCTGTCTAAATTTCCCTTGTTCTACTTCGGCAGGTTTATCAGAAATTACTTTCTGCCAAATCAATCAATCTTCGTTTATAGTCTCCATCCATTATGGGTCGGACATTTTATTCCATTCATCAGTATGAATGGAAATACTTTCTGCCAAAATCCAAAAAAATCCTTTTGCAAAAACTGAGACTGGCTTTCAATGTTGCAATCATCTGATGCACTTTTTCAAATTACAAAAAATTTTTTTGTAATGTCGTGTTAATCGTATTTACGTATCCAAATAATTTTGTTAACATTATGAAAATGAAATAAAAATCAAACCTTTCCATCATTCGTAAAATTCCCGAAGCTTTTGCGCAAGAATCTGATGAAACATTTTCAGCCATATCAGTAAAGAAATCTATTAATGTGGAGTAGTTTGATGAAAGAGACGACATAGAGACGTATCTGATTGTCCATCGGGTCAGACAAAAAGGTCGGAGGCATGTACAAAGTCTGATTCTAAATTATGAATTGTAGCCCATCGCTTAGGCAAGTCCCTTTATAAAGTTGATGATGTTCTTGACCATATTCAATGTATCCCTGCAAATTTTCAATTGTGTCCTGAGCTACCAAATTTAATGAATGAGCTAAACAATAAACAGATAATGCTGTATTTTCGTCCTCAAGAATTCTAGCTTGAAAAACATGTTAGGTAATGGTAAATTAAATCTAAGAACATCTTTGATGACAAAATGCAAAGCAGCTGAGGTTGTAAATTCCGCTTCGTAAAATTCGAGAAACTTTTGCTTCTAATGGATTTTTGGTAATCTTAGACAAAAAGCAAATTGTTTCTTTTGAGATATATCTGCCGTCTCATCACATACAATAGTATAAAAACCCGCTATTTTAACAAACAAAATTAGTTTCCTAAGAAGAGTGTGGCACTTCTGATCAAGAATTTCGTTTTGTATACCATGGCTACACCAAGTATATGATTCAGATTTTAGCCACATTTGCAGTTTCTCTGAATCTTCCCTTTTCAACTTAAGTAAATTTACAAAATTACTGGCGTCATTATCGTGACCACGTATTGCAAGGCCTTGTGACGCTAAAAACAACAGAGAAAAAAATAAAAAAAATTTTCAGGTAATGCTAAATGTTAAAGCAATTCTCGTCGATCTTAGCACCTATTCTGGTCAAGCTGACTAACTCTGTCTTCAGCACGGGATGCTTTCCTTCACTTTATAAAACTGCTCAGGTTTTATAAAAACGCATAAGAACAATTATCAAGGTAAAGGTTTGGTTTGGTTTGGCAAACTTTACAAGCAAATCGATGGTGTGGCTATGGGATCCCTCCTCAGCGTCCTATTTGCCAGTTTTTACCTAGGACATCTGGAGAATGAGACCTTCTAAAATAATGCAAATTTAAAACCAAATATCTACGCTAGGTACATTGATTTTTGTCTCCTATAACGATCCTGAACAAATCACCCAATTTCTTGGTACCTTAAACAAATCAAAATTAAGATTTACCATTGAAATTGAAAAGAAACAACGGTTATCTTTTCTCGATGTGTTGGTCACTCGTGGCGAAGAACTATTCAAAACTGCGGTCTATGTCGAAGAAACAAATACAGGAATTTGTTTGAATGGACAAAGTGAATGTACCGAACAATTTATAGAGAGCACAATAAAATCATTTGTAAACCGGGCATTCACACACTCTTCCGATATTGAAAATCGCGACGCTGAATTAAAGAGTCACCAACCTGCTTGTAAACAATGGTTATAAGACTTATTCTATTGAAAAGATTGTTAAGGGCAAATTGCTACACAACAATAACTTTCCTAATACCAACAATCAAGATAACGATATCATATTGTATTAAAGAAACCACATGTCAACTGCATACAAAGTAGATGAAGCTATTCTTAAACATATCATCAATAAAAATGTCACACCAACCAACCCAATTAGTAAAGTTAAACTCTGAATTTATTACAACAATAAGAAAACGTCTCACCTAATACTGAAAAATAATTGTAGTCCTGGAGATAACTCTGTGTTAAAGCGTAATCACGTAATATATGAATTTAATTGCCCCTTTAATTACATGACTCATATATCGGGATTACTACTACCTCACTGACTAGAAGGCTTACGATGCATAAACAGAGTGGTGCTATCAAATCTCATTTGGACTCAACACACTCAATCACTATTAGCCGTGAAATCCTCGACAGCAACATCAAAATTATATATATATATATATAAAGTCAAAAGTTTAAAATGAAAATACAAAAAAGCAAAGCCTCTTTTTTTCTACTAGTCTGGTCTTTCTCCTGACACAATGTAACATTTTTAAAACTTTTAAACAAATGAACTTTATAAAATCAAAATGGATCAAATAACAAATGATTCCAAAAATTTTACATAATTCAGTTAAATTATTAAGTTAAAAATCGATTAAAACTAAAATAGAATAATTTTAGCAGCAAAAAATGTTTACAAGAATGCCGCCGGTGGCACGTTAACAGGGAAGAAGCTAAATATAGATTGGAAAACTGAAAAACCAATTGACAATTTGGTGCTAAAAAAGTTTGCTTCCAAGTTTCCTGACCTTGAGAAGAAGGTCAACACTATAAAGCCATTCTTACATATAATTCAATGGTTTTAGCCCAAGATCTCTGATCGATTTTCTGTGGTAGTTATTTTTTGCAGTGTGAATTGTAAACAGAACATCTTTCAGTCAAATCTTCAATTTCATGGGACAAACCAGGCTAGTATAAAAAAGAGCGTGCTATAGCTTTTTTTTGTCAATTTCAAGATGACCGTAATGTTAGAAGTTAAAAAGGTTAAAGGTCAATTTATTTTGTGCAAAGATTTTGACACAATGAGCTTTCATTCATAAGATAAAAGTCCATCAGGCTCATAAATGTTGGAAGCAATTTTCGTAAAGAATTTCAACTCTGGAGGTAGTTTTTTAACATACACACGACTTATCCACGACTGGAGTGTAGAAGATGTGGATTTTTGTGTGTTGCAACTCTAAATCCCTCTAGCTTGCTAATGTTAGCTGGAATGTTTATGGTCATAGTATGTACTAAAACTTCTATGTTACTGTCAAGAATTGGCTAATGATAGGCTAAAGGGGCTGTTGTTGTTTTGTGCATTTTGATGTTGCCATAAAAATATCCAATATCTTGGAGTAATTCGATTTTTTTTCATGAGGTACATTTTTGTACCTATTGGTATGACGACGACTAAGTTATCGAAAAGACTCACGATGCACGAACAACCTATTGAAAAACTATTTAATTAGCGCCATATAAATATTCGTGTGTATATATATATATATATATATATATATATACATACCATCTTCGGTGTTCAAATTGATATATTGTGGTTGTGCCCAGATGATCAAATATATTTTTTTGCCTATTTATTGGTTCCTTGTTTATCCAAAGTGAATATTTAGTTTTATAATCTTTCGACATCGTATCAAATATATTACTTTTATGTGTTTTCATTATCGATAAATATAACACTTTTATGTGTTTTCATCATCGATGATATAACACTTTACATGTTTTCATTATCTATGATTCCACTGTTTCTAAATTTATTGGTGAGAAAAATTCCGGTCGCTCGTTGTTGAATATTTATTATCGGATGTCTTTGATTCGACTAGTCGTAAATTATAATGGTTGTTATTGTAATGTAATATTGTGGTCCAGGATTTGGCCAGTAATTTTAGTTTTGTGTTTCTCTGTCATGTGACTCTTTATAGCACCAGTTTGTTCGTGCATCGTGAGTCTTTTCGATAACTTAGTCGTCGTCATACCAATATATCCAGAATTATGGTGTTCTATCATGAATAAAACAGACAAAAATTTTGGCTTTGAACTAAAAAAAACTTGAAAATGATTTACGATCTACCGTTAGAAAAATCGAAAAGTTAAATTGGAAGTTAACTAACGCCGAACATGCTATGAATTTCATCAATAATTGCATATATATATATATATATATATATATGTATATAGGTGTGTGTGTGTTTACACGCACGAGCGTGTATTAATTCTCAATATATATGCTTAACGAGCATGTTGGCATGCTTATAACGTGCGTGCACGATGTTCAAACATCGTCGCGTATTTGTTAAAAGCTCTCTTTTTTAAAGCCATTTCTCACCCTTCATATATTTGTTGTGGCTTGGCAAACTTCAGTCTCATACGTGGTAAAGTTGAAAAAAAATGACAAAACAACAAATGTAAAATAACGCTATATAATTTGTATAGTTCAGTGCGATGAGTCGAATGAAAAACATTTGACTCCGACTTCGGCTCCTCAAAAAAATCCGACTCTCGACTTCGACTCCAGTCCCTTAAAAAAATCAGAATCTGACTCTAGGTAAAAATCTCCAACTCCGATTCCCGACTCCGACACGTGGTTTCGTGGTTTCCAAAAAATTTTTTCAACTTTTGTATCATAGTTTCACCTTTTTATCACTAATAGATGAAAAATATTTTAAGAAATATTTAAAATCAGTCAATGTAGTTATTTTTCATTGTAATTTTGATATAAAATTCCACAATATATTTCCTGCTAAACGACTTCAGAAAAACAATGCTGTAAAAGCCAGCGACGAGGAGTATAGTTCTTTCAGAATCTGTATTCCTGAAATTGAAATGGTTAAAATTTTTAATGCTGAAATATGGCCTTTACACGCCAATGTTCGTAAGTGGTTATTTTACACGAGTCAAGCGCCTAAAACTCCATCCGCTGTTAATGGTTAGTATTTCATCTTTCAATAATCAAGCGCCTAAAACTCCATCCGCTGTTAATGGCTAGTATTTCATCTTTCAATAATTATATTAACAATGATTTAACTTGTGATTGTAAATAATACTACATTTCAAATTCAATAATTAATGATTTAAATGTTGAAAACATTAATTGTGCAAAACTTGCTTTTACTATTATACATATCAATGCAAGAAGTATTTTTCACAAAACGAGTGACTTGAAATTTTTTTGGATTCCTTTCCTTTTCGTTTTATTGTTGTTGTGATTTCAGAGACGTGGTTAGATGATACGACTGCTTCTTTGATTGATTTGCAAGGATTTAAATTCATATTTAGACAGAACAAAAGTTTGCCTGTGGGGCTGTAGAATGGCGCTTCGGTAGTGCAAATTTGAAGAAGGAACTTCAGGGTGTTGGAATCTTTATTTCTGAAACAGATAACTCACGGTATCGATGAAAAAGTAATACATGACTCTGCGGAAACTTTGACGCTGACGATCTCAATGAACAACCATAAATGTTTTAAAATCATAGCTGTTTACCGACTACCGATTCCTGATTTTGACGAATTCTTGAGTTTATTCGAAAATATGTTGCTAAGATGTAATTCACTCTTATATTGCAAGATATTTCAATATTAACCTGGATTCTGTCTCGATAGATAAATTTAATTTTGAAAGATTGTTTTTTCACAAATTTCACGCTTTGATAAATTTGCCTACACGAGTCACAACTTCATCTGCATTAGTTTTAGATAATATTTTAACTTATCAAAATGGTTATCATCAGGCTGGGGTTGTTGCAGACTTGTCTGACCATTATCCAGTTTTTTGTTTAACGAACAATATGGAAGTTCATAAAGCTAATGCTATTTCAAATCAGAATAATGTAACCAAATTGAACGTAAATAAAATAAAGACAATTCTAAATAACATCAATTGGGATTTCATTTTGAATTATAGTGATGTGAATAGTTGTGTGCAGAACTTTCTCGGTTATTTTCGAAGGACGGTGGATGATTATTCTAAGTTTCTGCTATCTGTGAATTCAAAATTTAAAAAAAAACTGGATGAATGCGGATCTTCTGAAACTCTGCGAAAATAAAATAAACATTATTTAAAACTCATTAAAGATCCATCTTCAAAGAATTTATTTATGTACAAATGCCTTAGGAATAGTTTTACAAAAGCTAAACGTAGTGCAGAAAAACAATTTTATGAAAATCTTTTTAAATTAAACAATAACAATATAAAGGCAAAATAGCGCTTGATAAATAAAGTGATGTACGTAAAAAAGCAGACGATTCAAATTGCTCATTTGAAGTTAAATGATCACACAATCTCCGATAAAAAATGAGATTAGTAACACACTCAACCGTAATTTTGTTACGGTGGCCTTCACAAGATTATTTTAAAATCAGCTGTTTGATGATTTTTTTAAAATTTTCCTTACAGTTGGTTTGAATAAAAAAAGTTTTCGTTCGTTCGTTCAAAATTACTTTATTTTTATGTTTTAAAATATGCTGAAAAAAATTGTCAACTTTTGCATTACAATTTCATCTTATTATCACTACTAAATTAAAAATATTTCAGACAAACACTTAAATGTTCAATGTAATTGTTTTTCTTAGTAAAACTACTTAGTAAATGTTTTAAAACATTTAGAGAAAATATTATTTGTTTTAAAAAAAATTATATTTTTTATCCTGAAATTTTTTTAAGATTGTGTTTTTTAGAATGTAGCAGCAAACAATCATTTTTAATACTAAAAATAAATAATAATAATGAGAATGAAATCCCTTTTTTACAGTATGTTGTGAAACATCAAAATAAATTTCTATGAAATACACTCACATTGACTGTACTGTTTAATGTATTTTTTATTTAGTTGTGATAATAAGGTAAAATTATGATGCAAAAGTTGAAAATTTTTTCTGTATGATTTAGAACATAAAAATAAAGTTATTTTACTATGAAAAACATTAACATTGACTGATTTTAAGTGTTTTTTTTAAATGTTTTTCATTTAGTAGTGATAATAAGATGAAATTATATATTATATTATATATATCTTTATATATATATTATCTATATATCTTTATTATGTTCTGCAACAGCCATCTTCGCCACAAGGGCTGTTTATCCTTTTCACACGACGTACACATGTATTTATGTACACACGCAAACACCGCATCATAAAAATTAACTGGTATTCAGGAATATGTAGAGCCAGTCAAAAATCTTGGTGTTTGGATAGATCCTGAATTGAAGATGAATAAACATGTGAAAAATGTCTGCCGATCATGTTTTTACCAATTGCGCCAAATTAGACGTATAAAAAAGTACCTGACAAATGAATGCTTAATTTCATTGATGCACAGTTTCATTTGTGGAAGAATAGATTACTGCAGTTCAATCCTCTATGGTACAAGTTGTATCTACAAAATTGCATACAGTCTATTCTGAACACTGCAGCAAGAATAATTGCTGGTGTAACAAAATATGAATCTGTTTCATCATATATGCGAAATGAGCTTCACTGGTTGCCAGTTTGTTATAGAATCGAATTCAGAATAGCAATGTTTACAAGAGACAGTTTGATGGGGCTTGGTCCTCGATACCTTCAACAGCTGGTCGTGCCTGTCCCTACGGCTTCCGGGGTGCGAAAACTCAGATCCTCTGCCAAAAAGAAACTCGTTGTTCCTAGGTTCAGGACAGAAAATTATGGACGGCGTCGTTTCTCCGTGGCTGCAGCGGAGGTTTGGAATAAACTGCCCGATGATGTCGTTGATAGTATGGATGAAAGAGACATGTTCCGAAAACGACTTAAACATCACTTTTTTGACCGGCAGCTTCTCGAACAGCGCCTCTGAGTTTTACATAGAGGGGCGCTCTATAAATTCTCCATACCATATACGCTGAGTATATGATAGCCTTCGAGATGTTTGACTCAGCGCGCATTTGAACCACTGAGCCATCTCGCCGGCCAACATGTGACAACTTACGTCGTCTACCCATTTACCAACCTCGAAAGGATGGACGGCTGGGTTGGCCGGGGAGTCGGCTACCCGAATAAACCTGCAGAAACTGCAAGATTCGAACCCGGGTCGTGGGAGTAGTAGACGGACACGATAACCACTCGGCCACGACCCCTTTTTGAAAAGCTGGAGCCAGTTTTCAAGAAAAAAAATAAAAAAATTTTCCGAAGTCGATTATTAAATCGGACTTTGACTCCGACTCTGGTTTATAAAAAAAATCCGACTCTGACTCCGGGCTCTCAAAAAATTCCGTCTCCGACACTCAGGTTTAGTTGTTGAAATATATATATATATATATATATATATATACAACTGGTTCAGTTGTTGCACATACATATGAACACACACACACACACACACACACACACACACACATATATATATATATATATATATATATGAAATTTTGTCTTAGATGTTTTTGAGAATTTTTGAGCATACCCATTTGTGTATGAGGGTGTGAATTTGCTGACCTGCTAATGCAGGTACAGTTTGCCATTACGAGTGCATAAAGTACAATCTCTCTTATCCCGACCTAAGGTGCATTACTGTTTGAACACCTAACTTGTTATAGGCTAGGTGTGTTTTATGTTAAACAATCAGTAGTGGTGGTTTGATGTCAAAATATCATTTCAATTTAGATGATTTTCAGTTATAAAATTTTATTTTTTTTTTAAATGAAAGTGAACTCTGATTTTTTTGTTATTAAATTTCATTGAAAAAATTAAAAAATTTAAAGGTTGAAAGCAAATTATTATAAGTCTTAAAACATGTCACAACAGACAAAATAAGTATTTTTATCTAGACCTAGTGCAAATTATGAAAGAAAATCTAACTGTTCCACGTGTTTGAGCTTCAGTCGGTTTTGTCGTTCATTTATGCTTTCACCAGACATGGAAAATGTCTGCTCACTATGCACAGATGTAGCAGGAATTGTCAGATACTTATGAGCTACTTTAGCTACTATTGGGAAGCAGGATGCATTATTGGTCCCACCACTTATACACAGATTGTTTTTTTACCAATTGGAACATGGCAGCAACTTTCAAGAATAGATATAATTTCAATAACTGTTAATGATGAGGTCATCCCATTTTGTCAGACAGCAGCTAATCTGGGCTTCATGATTGATTTAGGTTTGTCAATGAAACAACACATTAAGAAGCTCTCAGCCGAATGCATGTTTCAAATCAGGAAAATCAATCAAATTCGACGATCCCTAGATACATCCACGTTGCAGATGTTGGTTCATGCATTTGTGCACTCACGCGTCGACTGTTGCAACAGTTTGTTTTATGACTTGCCTGATCGATCCATGGCTGTACTTCAATCAATACAGAATCGAGCCACAAAAGTTGTTGTTGGAGCTCTAAAATACGATCATGTGTCTCCAATATTGAAGGAACTTCATTGGCTAACCGTCAACAAAAGAGTTTTGTTCAAAATTTCAACACTTGTCTACAAGTCTATCAACGGTCTAGCTCCATCTTATTTGTCTGACAGGTTCAAAAAGAGATCTTCAAAAGCATCTAAAACACACTTGAGATTCGATGTTTCAAACCTGCTGTTGATCCCAACAACGAGTTTCCGTATAGGCTCTCTAACATTGCTGTTTCTGGACCAACTGTTTGGGACAACCTGCCTGCTGCTCTCAGAAATCCGAAACTTTCCCACGACACATCAACACTCATCTTATCACACCCTTCTACCGTCGAACCATGGAACGACAAGAAGAATGCCACTGCTACCAGATCCGCCAACCACCAACCCAATAATACAGCTCCATCACCCAGGAACCCATTTTAAATACAGGCCATTACAACCCATCATCCCAGGCAACAACCACAATAAAAACAACAATACGAAAAATAACGTGAAACGCAACCCAAACAACAACAACAACAAGAATAACAACACCAAAACCGCACAACATCATCATCATCGAATGGACAACAACAAATTTCAACAAATCAGAACAACTGCTAGACTCATCTACAAAAAAACACAAATCACCCATCACATAAACAACTGGAAAGAAGACAAAGTGAAGGTCCTCAAAACAACAATTAACAACCTAAAGGACAACATCAACCCACCCAACAAGAACGACACATTCAACCAAGCAATTACAGAAATTCTCGACAACACATATAAAACCATCAAAAACACGATCATCAACCATCTCAACAACGAACTTTCCAACCACAACACCATACACTACGAAAACATCGACCTGATAGATGATACAAAACCTATCGAAGACCACATCAGGTTCCTCCAGAGAAATAAAAACTTTCATAACCACAAAGAAAACGTAGATGACATCGTAAAAAACGAAATTAAAAGAATCAAAGCCATCATATCCAACAACAATAGCAACAACAATACAAAATACAACACAAATAATAAAGACTCCATCATCACTAGCACGCCCATTAATAACCACGACGACAACTACGACGACATCAGCAACACGATCAACAACAACATTGAGCACAATAATAATAATAACTGTAATGATAATAATAATAATAATAACGATAATAATAATAATGGTAATAATAATAAGAATAACAACAACAACAACAACGATAAAATTAATAACAACATCAACGAACACAGCAACAAACCAACTCTCACCAACTACAATCACAATAACAACCTAACCCTAGATGCGGATGGCAACCTACCTTGCACATCCAACTCAAAACCCACAAACCACAACCAACCCAACAACAACCACAAGACATTCTTAACTCCAACTAACCAAGTC